TTGCGATTCTGGGAACGTCCTCGAGTGAGCAGCCTTCAGAGGAGTATCAAAGCACTCTTCGAGACCTCTCAATTGGAGACTTTGTTATTTCTCGACATATCGATCCTTCTCGCACTCTGAGGCAACCCAAACCGTCTGGCGGCTTACAAACTTCCGATGGCCATTTTCCTCTTCAGGACACAGACATTTTCGTGGAGAACGTTCAAAACATCAACCGCATGCTGAAATCATTAGGTAGCCAATGTACCCTTGAACTTTCAGACGCTCACATGAAGATCTTTATGCACGCTACAGACACACGAGCTCAGATGCTCAAGAAATCAATTCTTCCTCTACCAGAGGTGTACAACATTGCATGCGCCGCAAAACGTCACGAAGAAGAGGCCGCAGGTGCTGCACCAGGAGGAGTGTATGAGCGCCTTCTCATGGGTCCTTTAAGGCAAAGGCCTGGGCAGCGATACCTTGACGAGCCTGAGCAAGATGGCAAGGCGGAAGGCGAGGACTCGCAGAAGAAGGATGAAGATTCGCAATCAGGCGGCCGGGCAGCCATGAAGCTGAATGAGTATGAGAAGCGGATATCATCAGGCCACATCAACCGTCAGAACTTGAGAACGACTTTCGACGATGTTCACGTCCCCAAGGAAACCATATCTGCCCTCAAGCTTCTCACAACCCTGGCGCTGGTACGACCTGATGCCTTCTCTTATGGTGTACTCGCCCAAGATAAGATTCCTGGATGTCTTCTGTACGGACCTCCAGGCACAGGCAAGACGTTGCTCGCAAAGGCAGTTGCCAAGGAGAGTGGTGCAAACATGCTCGAAATCAGTGGTGCAACTATAAATGACAAATGGGTTGGTGAGAGCGAGAAGCTTATCCGGGCAGTCTTCACGCTGGCCAAGAAGATCTCGCCGTGTGTCGTCTTCATTGACGAGGCCGATTCTTTACTAGCAAACCGCAGCATGCTCGGTGCTCGGGCATCACACCGCTCTCACATCAACCAGTTTCTAAAAGAGTGGGATGGCCTCGAGGAGACAGAAGCCTTCATCATGGTTGCCACCAACCGTCCGTTCGACCTTGATGACGCTGTTCTCCGTCGCCTGCCGCGTCGTCTACTTGTCGACCTGCCTCTACAAGCAGACCGTACTGCCATTCTGAAGATCCTCCTCAAGGGCGAAACCCTCGACCCTGCCGTTTCACTCGAAGATCTAGCCAAGCGAACTCCCTACTACTCAGGCTCTGATCTCAAGAATGCCTGCGTCGCTGCCGCCATGGCTGCCGTAGAGGAGGAGAATGAAGCTGCTGCACGTCACAGTGGTCCCGAGCCGTATGAATACCCTAAGAAACGTATTTTGCGCCAGGACCACTTCGATAAGGCTCTTCGTCAAATACCGGCTAGCATCAGCGAGGATATGCAGTCTCTCAAGCAGATTCGCAAGTTTGATGAAGAATACGGAGCTAAGAAGAAGGGTGCAAAGAAGATGATGGGTTTTGGCGTCGGCGTAGAGAAGAAGTTTGCCGATGCTGAGGAGGTAAGAATCCGTCGTGGCCCATGAAGATGTTAATGTTAGGCTTGGATTTGGTTTCACATTTTTATGCATCATGGCGTCAGGCAGGAATCTTTCTTTGTATAATACACACATATATAGAATTGGCCAACACAGAGGTACTTATGATGGATTGAACTGAATGGCGAGTTTGTTTTTGGCATTGGCAAAAACAGCCAATAAACTATAGAATGATATAACCAGACACTGAGTCACGATCCTGAGGCCCAGTAATGACCGTCGTAATGGGGCACTTAGACTCTATTCAGATCATTCAGCCTTTAACCCCTCAGATGTCTGCAAAACAAGTCCCATCTAACCTATCTAGCCCTCAACACTGATAGTCCAACTCGGGCTGCCGCGATGAAAAGGGGCAACATCACTGGCCCTGACCCTCTTAAGGCGATTCATGGCAACAACGAAACATTTGATATCCGTAAAATTGGCCAAGGCACCCCCACAAAGACACGCCTAACATGTCGTTATTTTGATGCAATTGCTGGCTAAACCTTGATCACGATGGAAGCAAGTACAAAAGCCCAAGTCGAAATTGGGTAGAGAATGTCAATGATGAGTATAATAACCAAAAACATCACTTTACGACAATCCTCAATGAATCTGGGTCAATTCTTTGTAAATGCCTTTTTATATTTCATCGATCCGCCATGCGTTCTCCCCTGAGCTGATCATTATGTTTACGGAAACGGGGCTTAGAAGGATCATGCTTCAGTCGATATCTGTATCCCCTCTGCTGCGAGAGCCCTCGAGTAGTCGGCTTGAGCCTTCTCCAAAGCATTCATAGTTGGTTGCATCAAAGCAATCACGGCAGCTTTGCCACCTCCAACATTATCTGATCGCCATCTGATCTTCTTGCCGGTTCGCTGGAAATGATCGCGGATCTCTTTCTTCCGGCTGCGAATGATTTCCTCGCGTTCCTTGTCGGCTTCCTCTGCAACGGCGTTGATACGTGCCAGTGACCGGCCGAGAGACTCGGCTAGGTACTGTAGCTCACCAGCGCGGTCCGGGTCGCCCGAGAGGAATGCGTTCCAGAACTGATGCAGAAACTCGATGGTCGTTGCGTGGGTAAGACTGCACTTGCGGGAGATCTCAACAGGAAGCCCCATGGGCTCAACGGCATCCGTCTCGTGGCCGTATTTTTGAGCGCGTTGCTGACGCACACCCTTCATGATGTCCTTGTCAGCAGCTAAGAGAGCGGAGCGTGATCCAACATGCGGCCGTTTGGGAGTATCTTCGTCACTTTCGCTCTCTTCATCAAATCCCATTGCTGCCTGTATATTTATTCCGCCAGCACCATCGCTCTCAAGAGTCTCGAGATCTCCCACTATCTCGAACAGAACTTCGCTAGGAACCTGTTTTTCGAAAATCGCAGCTTGTTTCGAGGGCGCAGAGTCATGTTTTGAAAAGAACTTGTTCTGTTCCTTCACGTTGAGCATAATACGATGCTCCTTCGCGTCGCCCTTCAGATCACGCAAAGCCAGCTGGACATAAGCGTTGTAACCACCATTGGGATCATCAGTGTTGACATCAGAAGGTGCAACATTGGCCATGATCTTCTCACTGAGACTGTTGAGGGTCTTCACAATTGGTATATTGGCCCTAGGACGCATCTCGACATCCTTCGCGTTTCCACTTTTGAAGCCTCCTTGATTCTCTTCGTTGGCCTCGATGTCGATAAAATGCGGTACTTGGTTTGCCATGATTTTGCTCTGAAAGGCAACCGTATTCTCAGCAGGGTCATATTTGTCGAACAACGGGTCATTAGGGTCGTTCTCGGCGACTCGCTCACCGCGTAGCTTTTTGGAAAGTCTGCTGAGGAAGAAACGGGACCAGAAGTCCGCTTCAGATATCTTGGGGACATTCTCGTTGTATACACGTTTGATCAGAGGATGTTGTGCGAATATCATTTGCACCTGCTCTACGCTGATGTTTAGTTTTAGTTCGCCATCAACAGTCTTGGGTTTGACGGTTGAGAGGACATTATATGCTCCTTTCTTCTGGTTTATCTCAATAGCATGGGCTCGGAGAAGATTTGTCCGGGTTGACCAGAACTGTGAATTAAAGGCGGCTCCTGATAAGGAGTCGGGCTTGGTTTGCATTGCTTCAACGTATGTTTGATGCAGACTTGTATCTTTTCTCATCAGTGACTGTTGCAACTCGATGTCGTTCTTGAGCTGCGAGTCATCGAACCAGCGCGAGGATGAAGCATTCTGTGAGTTGACAGCGCTGGCGAAGGCCATGGATGCGGAACCGCTACCACCACCAGTGCCACTACCAGCGCCTGGATTGGGCGTTGAAGAGCCACCACTTGCGCCGGATGGTTTTGGAACAGAAGCATCGTTGCCGCGCGTAGAAGCTAATAGGCTGGATAATAGATCTTTGACAGCCTTTGCCTCATCCTTGGCCTCGGCGGTGTTGAAGTGAAAGAGATATGTAGCGGGCTCTGCGTCTCCAACCTTTTCAAAGATTTTGAGCATAACCTTTGGTGAAGAATCTGGGGTCTGTTGGAGGTCTGACGTGGAGTCGTGTCAATAAACAAATCGAAACATAGGACGAAAACCGCGTCTCAGCTTACTTGTGATGTTATTGATGTTTAGTGAGACTGTGGCAGGGCCTCCTGAATTAGGAGTCCAAGTGACCAGCTGATGGTCACTTGTGAGAGTCAGAATGCCCTCCTTCTTTTTGAAAAGGGTGCGTCCCACTGGGATCGCCATATCGACGACGGACTATTTTGTTAATGTGACGGTTTGATACGGATATTTCACCGTTGAGAAGACGCTTCCAACTATTAGATTGGATTGGATGCCTGCTCTTCAGTGCTTTGTTCAGTCAAGACCCACTTACGGCCACTTATTCCATGATTACCTAAGGCAGCATAGCATCTAGGTACCTCAGGGCAAGCTCAGGCTCCGAGGAGACTCAGAGTTGAACAGCAGGAGGTTCATCTGGAATATGTGATGGTAGCTTGAAGTTTAAATGTTAGTATCCGTGGTTGCTTTCTTCAAATTTCATATGCGACTGCAACATCACATCAAACTCATCATCAAGCCAATCAATTAATCAGGTGATAGCGTAAAAATGGATGTGGAGTTGCTTGCTGTTTTCTCAGTTTTAGCACATCTTATGCCGACTCCAACCTGTAACTTACAAACAAGACTTACAGGAAGCTGTGGACCCTATCAACTAACCATCTGATGGTACTCAATGATTAGGTACTAATCTATAATAAGCCTCCAGCTATGAATCCTCCAATGTTAAATTATAATTAGTTAGCAGTGAAAACTTGGGCTGCACCAAAACAAATACGGAGCATGAAACGCCCATGGGACCAGAACATATTGAATTGACGTTGTATGCTGATCCGCATACGTCAGAGCTTTGGATGTGCATGGGATCGTCAACTTCTCCAACTATGAATGTGGCTGGTGAATTATCATTCAAACTGCCTGTTTTTCCGTGGCTCAACCCTTGACGAATTCAAAACGCTCTCCAAAACCTGGAATGCATGAGATCATGAATGCATGAATATACCTACAATACAGCACAGTAAATACTGTCCCAACCCAAACTCGACCTTGTGGCGTCGGCTATTGACCCTGTTTGAACCACGTAACTAGAACTTCACGATGGTTACGTCCGCAATCTCAGTTCCTTTCCTGTGCGCCCCGATTCACTCCATGTTTTGACCAACTTACTGACATATTTTTTTTGGACTAGACCGTCTGAGGAAGATCTCCCTATTTCCACAAATGCACCACCAGCTTTCATTCTAGCCCCCTATAAGCACAAGTCATCTTCATGAATCGGTTGGCATTGAAACCCAAATGCCCCCAAAATCGTGGGGAAGCACAAGCGATGGCCCGGCTCAACGGGTGCCATGGATGGTGAACGCAGAACGGTACAGCGTTTCCGGGGATCATTCTCTCCTTGCTCAAGCATCACGGTGATCCTCGGTAAAGAAGCCTCAAGTCTCCGAAAGGGACCCCAAAGCCCCAAAAATATTGAAACGTGCCCCAATGACAGCTGCCGCAAAAGTCCACGATGACCTCCAAAACAGTGTGTCATGTGGGTCCCCGGACAATCAAGGCCGGCCACCTTTCACCTTGGAATTTACCTAAGTCTCCCTATGAAAACCTCTCAACACTGCCTGACCTGCACAGTGTGCCACACGGAGTTTTCTCGGTGACCGAAGCACTACGGGAGCACCTAGCCAATGAGAACCCCAATCCCTGGCGGCCAGAACCGGGTTTGCCGGGGCGTCATAGTCTTTTTACCAACAGCAGGACATCAAAGGCCAGGCCAGGCCAGGTACGTACGGTACCTAGCGACTTGAGCTCCAGCGCTGCTCATACCTAAAACAATTTCTTCCCGTCGTCTACTTGTTCTTCCCGTGTCCCTCCCAACTACCTATCCACCTTATCCATCCGTCAATTCAGTCCAATTCCTCTCCTCAGTCTTCACGGGGAACCCTTTGTTGACTTACTCCGCCGTTCCTTCGTGTCGCGATCAAGCTCGTCGAGGGATGCTTCCCATTCATATCCTCTAGTTCCTTTTTATATACCTGTTCTGTTTCTCCACATACACAAACACAAACGCTCATCATGTTGAGGAATTCGCTCTGTAGAGCTAGCTCGCAGCTCCTTCGCGGTGCTCGATGCTCTGCTGCCTCGTCTACCGCCTCTATTTCGACCCTCTCGGCCCGTACATCATCATGGAAGCTCGCCGCCTCCCGCCGCCCTCTGGCCGTTGCTGCTCGTCGCAATTATGCGACCAGCGCGACTTCTGCGCCTCCCGATCCTAACGATAACTTCCTCTCCGGAAGCACCGCTAGCTACATCGATGAGATGTACATGCAGTGGAGGCAAGATCCTGAGAGCGTCCATGTCTCTTGGCAGATCTACTTCAAGAACATGGAGAGCGGCGAGATGCCCATCTCTCAAGCTTTCCAGCCTCCTCCTAACCTGGTCCCTAACATGACCGGTGGCGTCCCTCGCCTTGCTGGCAACCTGGCCATGGAGGATGGCTCAGATGTCACCAACCATCTCAAGGTTCAGCTTCTTGTCCGCGCTTACCAGTCTCGCGGTCATCATACCGCCAAGATTGATCCCCTCGGTATCCGAGGTACCAACGACGCCAAGGGCTTCTCCAACATCAAACCCAAGGAATTGACTCTTGAGCACTATGGTTTCACCGAAAAGGACATGGACACCGAGTACACCCTCGGCCCTGGTATCCTGCCTCGCTTCAAGCGTGATGGTCGTGAGAAGATGACTCTCCGTGAAATTGTCGATGCTTGCGAGAGAATCTACTGCGGTTCTTTCGGTGTTGAGTTTATTCATATCCCTGACCGTGACAAGTGCGACTGGCTCCGTGAACGTCTTGAGGTCCCTACTCCTTTCAAGTACTCTGTCGATGAGAAGCGCCGTGTTCTTGACCGACTTATCTGGAGTTCCAGCTTCGAGTCTTTCCTGGCCACCAAGTACCCCAACGACAAGCGATTCGGTCTCGAGGGTTGTGAAACCCTTGTCCCTGGTATGAAGGCTCTCATTGACCGCAGTGTCGACTATGGTGTCAAGGACATTGTCATCGGTATGCCTCACCGTGGTCGTCTCAATGTTCTCTCCAACGTCGTCCGAAAGCCCAACGAGTCTATTTTCAGCGAGTTCGCTGGTACAAACGGTGCCGAGGATGAGGGATCTGGTGACGTCAAGTACCATCTCGGTATGAACTTCGAGCGTCCCACTCCCTCCGGCAAGCGTGTTCAGCTTTCTCTGGTCGCCAACCCTTCGCATCTCGAGGCTGAGGATCCCGTCGTCTTGGGCAAGACCCGCGCTATCCAGCACTACAACAACGATGAGAAGACTCACCGCACTGCCATGAGTGTTCTCCTTCACGGTGATGCCGCCTTTGCTGCCCAGGGTATCGTCTACGAGTGTCTCGGCTTCCACTCTCTCCCCGCCTTTTCTACCGGTGGTACCATTCACCTCGTCGTCAACAACCAGATTGGTTTCACCACCGATCCTCGATTCGCCCGATCTACCGCCTACTGTACCGATATTGCCAAGGCCATCGACGCTCCCGTTTTCCACGTTAACGCTGATGATGTCGAGGCTGTCAACTTTGTCTGCCAGCTTGCTGCCGATTGGCGCGCCGAGTTCCAGCACGATGTTGTCATTGACCTCAACTGCTACCGAAAGTACGGCCACAACGAGACCGACCAGCCTTCCTTCACCCAACCGCTCATGTACAAGCGCATCACTGAGAAGGAGCCTCAAATCGACATCTACGTCAACAAGCTCATCGAGGAGGGTTCTTTCTCCAAGGCGGATGTTGATGAGCACAAGCAGTGGGTCTGGGGCATGCTCGAGGAGAGCTTCACCAAGTCCAAGGACTACACTCCTACCTCCAAGGAGTGGACCACCTCTGCTTGGAACGGTTTCAAGTCTCCCAAGGAACTGGCCACCGAAGTTTTGGCTACTAACGAGACAAGTGTCAAGAGCACCACTCTCGAGCATATCGGTACCGTTATTGGAAGCACTCCCGAGGGCTTCCATGTTCACCGCAACTTGAAGCGTATTCTCGCCAACCGAACCAAGTCTGTTGTCGAGGGCAAGAACATCGACTTCCCTACTGCCGAGGCTCTGGCCTTTGGTTCTCTCGTTACTGAGGGTTACCACGTCCGTGTCTCCGGTCAGGATGTCGAGCGTGGCACCTTCTCTCAGCGACACGCTGTCTTCCACGACCAGGAGACCGAGGATACCTACACTCCCCTTCAGCACCTGAGCCAGGATCAGGGCAAGTTCGTCATCTCTAACTCTTCCCTAAGTGAGTTTGGTGCTCTGGGCTTTGAGTATGGTTACTCGCTGTCCTCACCCCACGCCCTTGTCATGTGGGAGGCCCAGTTCGGTGACTTTGCCAACAACGCTCAATGTATCATTGACCAGTTTATCGCTTCTGGTGAGGTCAAGTGGATGCAGCGAACCGGTCTTGTCATGTCTCTGCCCCACGGTTACGATGGTCAGGGTCCCGAGCACTCTTCTGGACGCCTCGAGCGATACCTTCAGCTCAGCAACGAGGATCCCCGTGATTTCCCCACTGGTGAGAAGCTTGTCCGTCAACACCAGGACTGCAACATGCAGATCGCCTACATGACCTCTCCTGCCAACTTGTTCCATATTCTCCGCCGCCAGATGCACCGCCAGTACCGCAAGCGTAAGTAAAAGGGATATTTCTTCTGTTTTCTATAGGCGCTAACTTGTCTGCAGCCCTCGTTATCTTCTTCTCCAAGTCTCTTCTCCGTCACCCTCTGGCTCGTAGCAACATTGAGGAGTTCACTGGCGAGAACGCTGGCTTCCAGTGGATTATCCCTGATCCCGAGCATGAGACTGGTGCTATCAAGGCTCCTGAGGAGATTGAGCGCGTTATTCTTTGCAGCGGTCAGGTCTGGGCTGCCCTTCACAAGCACCGATCTGAGAACAACTTGGACAACGTCGCCATCACTCGCATTGAGCAGCTTAACCCCTTCCCTTGGCAACAACTCAAGGAGAACCTTGACCAATACCCCAACGCCAAGACCATCGTCTGGTGCCAGGAGGAGCCTCTCAACGCCGGTGCCTGGAGCTTCACTCAGCCCCGTATCGAGACTCTGCTCAACAACACTGAGCACCACACCCGCAAGCACGTCATGTACGCTGGCCGAAACCCTAGTGCTTCCGTCGCCACTGGTCTCAAGCAGGTTCACATGAAGGAGGAGCGCGAACTCCTCGAGATGGCTTTCACTGTTAAGCAGGACAAGCTCAAGGGCGAGTAAGCGGATGAAAACTGAAGGAACAGGTTTAATGGGGGATTACAATATGGATAGTATGGTATGGTAATTGCATGGCCACTAATCGTTTGGGAGGGAAGAAGTTTATAAAAGCCGCTGGATCTGGGGAGCAACTGAGCTTCTTATGTAAACCACTTGTATCATACCCTCCTAGACGAAGGACACTTTTGCCCTACATTGGCATGGGCTTGGGAACGACATAGCATGATTTCTTTTTATTGTTTGAGTGTTCAGAGCACCTGACGGGTCGTTTCATTTTCTACATCTGGCATTGCGTAGACGATACATCTATCTAACCTATTGATATTCACATTTGGTTCAAAGTATAAGTGAGTGAGTCTATTTTCGGTTGTATTTATTATCTCAACAAGATGCAATGCTACCTTGGCGCGTCAATCTCAACCTGCCACGGCCGTACGATCCCGTCATCGCCCGTTGTAACTAGCATCTCCTCTTCCCCGCGCCGCTCCGAGGCGGCATCGTATCTCCGGCACCAGGTAATATGATTAACCTCGAAGGGTCCATGAGCTCCGGGTTGCGAAGTTAGGAGTCTCCAATTCGTCTGCTGTTGCTTGCTCTCCTCGGTGTTACCCATGGTTTGGTCTTGGCTGTCGGTTGTCGTGACATGTTGCTCCGAGTCCTCGGCGTATAGCGCAACGATCCCATCGCTGCCAGTACTCGCTACGAGTCCTGTCTGTGCACTCCATGTCACAGAGTAGATATCGCGGGTATGCACCTTGGGTAAGACAGATGTGCATGTCCACTCTTCTCGTAGAGATCTCCGCATCGTATTGGGGATACCACCAAGAGCACCGGCAACACCTCCCGTACTATTCTCCTCCGCCTCATCGTCCTGCCTCAACGTCCATACCCTGATAGTGTTATCGGCAGAAAATGTCAAGAGTCGCGGGAAGCGATCTCCCTCCCGGGGTCGTGGCTCCCATTGAAGCCCCCAGACAGTGCCCGCGTGACCCTCAAGAACAGCAACACAAACCCATTCTGCATCACCATCTTCTCGCCAGATGCGCACTGTATTGTCGTAACTTGCGCTGGCGAGCACGTCGGCCGAGTAGCTGCGTCGAGCGTTGCGGCCAGGGACGTCGGGACACCAAGCAACAGCCTTGACATCGCCCTCGTGTTCGTTAAGCACAGCGATGGTCTCCCACTCGTCGTCTTCCTCAGATGCGCCGATATCCTCCCATATCCAGACTGACTTGTCGCGCGAGCACGTAGCTAGATAAGAACCCGAGGGGCTGAAGGCGCAAGACTTGATCTCCGAGTCGTGACCCTCGAGCACAAGCGTAAACTCCCACTCCTTGCTGGTAGCATCGCCATCATCGTCGCTATCATCATTATTTCTCCTCCGCACGCTCTGCGCCGTGACCTCAACCTCCAGGCCTCCCTCGGTCTGTTCTTGGCCCTCCCAGCGCCATATTCCAGCCGTAGAGTCAAAACTGCCAGTGACGAGACATAGGTTGCCGGGGCGCAGATGGGGCTTCCATGCGATGGAGCGGACGGAGCGGGTGTGGCCTCCGGTAAGGACGCTGTGGGCCGAAGCAGTCGAGAGAGAGAACACAGTGACGGCCTTTCCGTGAGCGGTTGCGATTAGAGGAAGAGTCGGGTGAGGAACCGAGGCCCAGGCGCGTTCGTGAAGGTCAGGTTTGAGGGGCGCGAGGGCAGTGATGGAGGCCGAAGTCGGCGCCATGATGAACGAAGCCGCGAAGGCGAGAGGACGATAATTGAGCGATTGACGACGATCTATGGAGATTTTAATGTATGGGGTTGTCGCCAGCTGGATTGGGCTGTTTAGGTAATAACCAAGAAAGAGTCGAGGTGGTGAAGTTTAACAGTTCATTTGAGTATTTCCCCTCCTTAGGTCAAAAGTTCACAATGGGATGGGGTTGAGTGATAAGATAAGTAGGTAGCGAGAACCCCTCCATTGAGTCAGTGACGTACTAAGCTTACATGGATCTAAACTCACCTCTAACCTATGATAAACAAGCCGCATAAAAGAAGCAAATAATTACCGCGTCAATTTTTACAAAATGACAGATATATAGATGGCTATATTTACAACATCTAAACCACCTTCGACTTAAACCATAACCAAGCCTCCTTCACATCACCTCCAGGCCTCAAATTTTGCTCCCTTGCTCTCTCGAGACCTCCCTTTCTGAACCCTCCTGGGAGGAGAAGCCATATCAGAGTGATAGCACCAAGGAGTCCGACTATTATAGGCTGTAGAACCTGAACTCCGGTCTTTTGCGCAATTGCACCAACCGCGAATGGTCCCACAGCTGCACCACCTCCTCCGACCGCAGCCGCGAACCCGATGGCACTGACGTGATAATCAGCTGGGAGTAACTTGGTTGCAACAACCATGGCAGCAGGGAACAGAGGCCCCAGGAAGAACCCAAGAAGCATGACGAAGATGACAGAGGCGACGAAGTTGGGGACAAGCCAGTACAGCAGTTCCAACCCTATGGAGAGCATAAGATAGACCATGATGGCCGTCTTCTCACCAGTCCTCTCTGTGACGAAGCCCAAAACAACTCGACCCAATGTCAGCCCGAGCCAGAACAGTGTAACTGTCAAGCCAGCAAGGAAAGGTTTGGCATGTCGTACTCGAAGCATGAAAGTGACAATCCAACCCCCCAAGCTGACCTCAGTCGCGACGTATCCCAGGAGAAAGACAGCAACTATCCAGGTGATGGGTTTCTTGAGTGCCATCCGTGTTGTTGCACGGTCTTTAGCTTCGTCGTAGCGAACTCGCTGTCGATACACTTGACCGGTTGCATCCCAGAATGCGGCTGTTCCAACAAGAAGTTCAACCACAGCAAGTCCTATCATGATGTAGTAGAAGGTGTACCAGTTCAATTTCCCCTCGGTTACCATGGCAGACGCAATCAGAGGGCCAATGGTGCCACCGAGGCCATAGGCGCCATGGAGGAAACCCAAGAGCTCGTTGGCTCTGTGCATGTTACCGATCCAGGCATTGTAGCCACTATCTTGGATACCGTTACCGAAACCAGTAAACAGCATTACGCAGGGTAGCGCTGGAAATGGAGGGTGAAGTGCCACGGGGATGTAGGCGATGAGACGACAGAGAGGCCCAAGAACTGCAACGCCTCGTTGGCCTAGGGTGTAGTGTATCCAGTTATTGGTGAGTGCAGCGACTACATAACCAGCTACAGGTACAAGAAAGAGAGTGGAGACGGTGGTGTAGTTGATGCCATAATATGTTTCAATCTGATCAAATTAGAAGAGAGTACCTAGTAGGCGATTCAGCTGAATACACGCACGTATGGCAGTAGAGCCTGTAGTAGTCAGTCAATGAAGCTCTAGGCTTGCCGAAGGTAGGCAGTAACTTACCCCTGGAGATGCATCATTCATACCCATAATGAGAAATGAGAAATTGGTGGCATAGTAACGATACGAGTTTATTCGAGGGCTGTTCCAATGCTCAAGTTCATCGATCGACTCTCCGCTGTCGTTCGTTTCGGGCTGCTGCACGGCCTCCACAGAGCCCAACTTCTCTTCTAACTCGTCATGATTCTGTTGTTGAGTTTGCTCTATCTGGCAAGATTTCGAGTTCATTGAAGGATCAATAATAGGCTTGAATATTGATCGTAATTGATTTTGTAGCATAAATACGTTGGAAGAGATATGAAGTCTTTTCATACAAGAAAGACCGTTGGATCCAACGGTACTATATATGCAAGGTCGGGTAAATTTCTCGCTAGAATGAATAATACATTCACCGCAACCGTTCAGGTACAGTACCTAGCAACAACCACTGAGAGATCCATGATTTATTTGGCCAGCTGAGCATCCAATATCAACTTTGTTCAATTACCTAGACTAGGTACCTAATAAGGTGTTGAAAAGCGGGCGGGATAACGGGACGGTAGCCCGAAACGTACTGTATGTCTGAGTCTGAGTTTAAGTCTAACACCATCTTGTGATTCATTTTCAAGTCGACCACACAGTAACATCAGCGGACACCATATCTGTTCATCATCTGTGGTGATACTCGGGCATTTCGTACTGCAGTGTTTTGTAAGACAAGACACCAAAACTCATCCAGAGGATAGATAATTGTGATGAGGTCACTATGCTCCGACTTGTGACTTCCATGGCAAATAAAAACGGGTCAAGCTTAACTCGACCTCCCTTTAAGCAGATGAAGTTTATTGGATATGATTGGCTCTATCATCTGGGGTCTGATATCCCCGGATCGTCGCCAAGGTTTGATATCAACTCCCACGGCCAAAGTTCGAATGATAGAGAGACGGTTAAAGAGAAAAGAGAATCTCGGAGAATTCTTCATAGGTACCCATGCACGTGTTGAATTGTTACGTTGAAATGAGGCTGTGTAACAATGAGATGAATGCTACGCCACACGCGGGGTCTCTCACAACGTCATCGGCTTGTCCGAGCCCTCCACTCACTTCCTCTCCAGTTCAGTTCAGCTACTTAGGTACTTTACCAGTGCCAGTTGAACGGGAGGCGGCTTAAAATACGACGTGGAAATGCCCAACGAACGATGCGCCTTGTACCAGGCAGTCCTATAAACGCCGTCTCGTGGTCTGTCTCATGTAGCTTGAAGAGGCTCGTCATCATCAGCTGTGTGATCAATAGATAGGTAGTAACTTAGGTAGACACAGAATCTTCTGCTCTATCTCCTTCGGTACCACCATTCACATCCCCAAACATTAGACCAAACTGCTGCTGCGCCACTCACCACTTCGGCTCTTATAACTCAGCTACTTTGCCTTAGTCTACCTCGCAGCTACAGGGCCTGCCTGCATTTGTCCTCATAAGGCTGACGTCCACCCACTGAGTTCGGGTGCCTCTTCACTTTTGTCCAGCCACATAAGCTTCCTACTTCCCCTCCTCGCCTACCTTACACCAGAACCAACCGTCTCGCTCTGCGTCGCTTTACACTTACTTGTAGAATTCCCCATACAATGTCAAAAGACTACTACGAGTACGAAGAGTACTCTCGTCGCCGGCGCGACTTTTCTCCCGACAACTACTCCGGCGGTGCCCCGGGGTCTCAGCAACAAGGCCCTCCTCCCCCCCCCCCTCCTGGCGCTCCTCCTTATGCCTCAGCCTCCCGTCTTGATGACCCTTACTACGGCGGCATGCCTCCTCCTCCGCGGGAGCGCATGACCCTCGAGCCTCCCGAGTCACAGAACCGCCCACGATCTGTCCCACCAAACACCACCATGGTCCGGCGCAGCCGCTCTCGTTCCCGTCCTCCCTCAGATGACGAGGATTATGATGACAGACGGAGCTCGCGAAACCGCTCACAAAGTCCCATCACCCGCGCTCGGAATGTCGTTGATGAGAACTTCTCTCATTCCGCCGGCGGCATCGGCGCCGGTATTTTAGGCGCTGTCGTTGGCGGTCTTGTAGCTCGCGAGGCGACTGAAGCTGCAACACGCCGCAAGCACAAGACCCGAGGTTACGAAGACGAGAATGAGGACCGCACTCGTCTCGTTTCCACCATTCTCGGCGCCGTCGCTGGTGGCCTAGGAGCCAATGCTCTCGCCAATAGGGTTGAGGATTCGAGGGAGCGAGACCGACGACGCCAACTCGATTGGGAGCGTGAGCGTAGCTACGTGCGCGAGCAGGAGATGCCCCGCTACGAGCAACGGAGATCCAGTGACCGTGATAGAGAGGACGACCGCCGCGATCGTGATCGTGACCGGTATGATCGCGGCAGGGCCCTACCCCAAAACGATGATGATGATTATGACTTCGTCTACGATGATCCGCGATACGAAGATCGAGAACCCAGGCGACGTAGAAGCGAGGACAACTACCGCTATCGCCAATAGTCGACCTGTCTTTTTACCCCTCGACAGCCTATTACTACTTCATTATGACATCTCACGACAGTATTTATTTCCCTTGTTTTCTTCCTCTCTTAGCTTATGTTAAGTGACGTTTAAAAACTGCGAGCGGTACTAGAATTGTTTTTTTAATTACCACAGGCTGAACCATCAGTCTGGATGTTAACTTTTGGAGATCTCACGAAACATGACTTGGCGCCTCTTGGATATTTACATAGTTGATACAGTTCTGTTTAAAATGCTTACGGTGTCATGTATTGGTTTCGTGGACCTATGAGAGTCCTTTTGACACATTCTCGGGCTGCTCCTCGTATCGAATTTACAATGTATTCACACACCATGATAACGATCATGCAGCTGAATCACCTGTCCTGTTTGCAGCTGTTCAGCTCGATGATGACGTGCTGTCCAACCAATTCAACTCGATCGAAAGCAACGAGACCAAAAGCATGACTCGTCACCAGTAACAAGCCAATCAATCATATCCCTCCCTGAACCGTTGTCCACCGTCGCTCGCCCCGGTTGTTGGAGTCCCTGCCATTGCCTCCAGTGTGTTCTCGAACATCCTGCTCTCGCTCCACGATGACCTTGAAGAACTGAGCTATGTCAGCAAGCGCGCGCTGCTGATAGTCTGGGACATCAAGCATTTTAAAGGTTGACTGGGTGTCAACCAACTGCTTCGCAATCACAGAATCTGGCTGGCAAAGTGTCCGGACGCACATTGCTCTGGCATTGACCTTCATGGCGCGCAGGAGCCCGCCAATCTCAACAGGATCGGCTTGTCGGCGGCCATAGAAGCGAAAATCGTCGACGTGGAGGCTGATAAGTTCAAGCTGCGTCTCCAGGTCGTAGCGAAAACCAACAACCTTGGGTCGGCCCTTGTTATGCCACGTATCTGCTACCTTTTTGAGCTTGTCAGGCACAAGCCGACCCTTGTCCAGTTGCACCGTAATATAGTCATTCAATGCAGTGCTAAGGTTGAACTCCAGTTCGCAGTAGAGGAGGCTTTGCTCTCTGGCATTTAGTGAGATGGCGACCTGTGATGTCGGGCGAGACCGGATTGCGGGCTGGGCCCGACGAGAGGTATGATGAAGCTCCGTCTGCGGTTAAGTAAGTACAAACATCTGACGCTGTATTTCCCCAACATACCATGTCTTTTGCGAGTTTCTTGATGTTGTCCAAAATTCCGGTCTTCTTCTGGAGCGTCTTTGAGCTTTGATCAGAGCCGCCGTTAGGGCGTTCGAGCCACCCGTTATCCCCAATCATTGTTTTTTCGCCCTTCTTGGAGCTTGGGTAGTCTGTTCCCCTGAAATAGAACTGCAGTGGTGAGAATACGGGAGTGTCTTGAACAGTCCGATGATAGTTGCTGTTATTAAAGCCCACTGTTACGACTTGTGGGATCGGTGGAGAGTGTACTGCGATGGCTCGGGCCTGTCTCAATCCATCGGCAGAGCTTTTCGAGCGTCGAGGCCTATTGACCAGATCCTCTGGATGGCTTACCGACTCCCTGATCATGGAGGAATCATGGCTCCTCTTCCACTCTTGGAATGAACCCTCTCCAGCACCATTGAATTTGGATTGTGACCTGACGTGGCTGAGGCGAAGAGGTGATGGGCGGGCAGTTTGTTGAGGGGAGTAGACCGAAGAGGCATCATCGTCAAAGACCGGCTCACGCTCAAAGCTTCCCTGCCCTAAAGGAGAGACTGCATCGGGAATCTCTTCCATCTCGGCTGGTCGAGGCACTGTCCCACTACGACGAAGAGTCCCAAGCTGCAACGGAGAAGGCGGGTTGATATGTCGACGTTCTGCTAAACTGGCAGAGAACAAGTCCTTGGAAGAGCCCGAATGGCGACCGGGCATAAGCTCCGAAAAGGTTGGAGAATTCACATCAGAGGGACCATCATCTCTAGTAGTCCAACCGTATGAATTCTCATGCTGTAGAAGTCTTGGTTTGCTCTTTCGTGGTGTTGACCTTGGAGTCGTTCTTGGAGTGGTCATCGTAGGCTTTTTCTTGAACTTAGCAGCCTTCGTTGGGCTCTTATCGACTTGATGACTGAAACTTCAGAATTATTAGTTAGAAATAGCGATAAATAGAAACATATGACATACGCGTCTGTAATCTTGTCAACTTGGCTCTCAGTCAAGTTCATGCGAATATGAAGCGGTTGTTTGACAAGACGCTTGCGCGGAGATAGCGAACGCGCTCGCGACTCGAATCCTGGTGATATATCCCGGAAATCTCCTCTCAAAGGCGTCAATATAGATGCTGAAGGGTCAGAGTAGCGCCCTCTATTCGAACTGTCTTGTTGCATCGAGTCCAGAACCTCGAATCTCAGTAGCCACTTGACAGTAGCTCCGAGTGATACAGGATGATGGTGACATATCACCACCGAGGTTCAGGCAAAGTACTTAGACGAAAGTCAGAAACCAAAAACAAGCAAGGTTGCCGGCAATAGGTGAATTAATGAATGAATCAGAGACTTCGGTTGGTCCAGTCGAAAATTTGGGTGCTGAATTGTTGTCAGCTGGCAACAAGTGTCAACGATAAGCCAACACTAGCGAGCCTCTGACGCGACTTTGGGAGTTCGGTACCGCTTCATTGCAGTCTCACATATGCTACCTTGCTGTCGAATTGATCTAGAAGTCCCCAGCAAGGCTTGTTTGAGATGCTCGCATCATCTGCTTGTCACAATGTAATATACCCTGCAACACGGCCTAGAGCATCACTTGTAACTAATGAGAGCTGTGTTTCCATCTGTAATCAATGCCACTGTCGAACCAAAGCTGAGGCGTGAAAGGGCCGTGGAACCTCCAGGAGTACAATACCCCTTTCGTTGGCAGGGCAGTTACCATATCTATTGCTTTATCTTCGGCGACTGGTAGTTCTCTGATGAAAGGTGGAAGCGGCCTATCTCTGGTGAACAACCCAAACTTCCTCGCAAAGTTGGCGTTGGGTATTTCGCATTCCCTAACATGAGCATCGAACTGCTGTCTGAATGCGTCGTGGGTCAGAATTATGGAGTGATCATCTTGGACCAGTGCAGGCTTTTGATTCTCTTTCTTTCCGTTTCCCTTATCCGTCGCGCGGAACATATGTATAATGTGAGTCAACTTCTCCGAACTGATGATTTTGGAGCTTAGTGATCGACGGTAATGAGTGCGCTCAATCTGTACCTGAGACTTTTCTGTGATTATCCTTTTTGGTAATTCGTCGAGGTCAATTGACTTTTCACCGACCAGTCTGCCCTTATGAATCATATTCTCATTCCATTGCATCTCGTGAAACTCTCTGGCCTTGAGCTGACGAAACGCACGGGTACCCCCGTCACGAGATGAAACATACATCGTATGTTCTATTATCCAGTTCTTTCGTATACCGATACCGCTTGGGTAAAGAGATGACCTTGCTATTATAGGTGAGTAGTCTGAAAGTCGAGTGCGATATCTTTGAGGGTGGCTTTTCCTCCACTGTATCAGGGCAGTTGTCGGTATCATATTGGACGTAACAGTTGTGAGGTGCGGGACATGAGGGAGTTCGAGATCAGTCTGCTCCTTTTGTCAGAACTAAAGGTTGCCATGAGTCCAAGTGAGGGTTTTCACACATGTCTGTTCAGGTGATCATGTCTCCAACGCTGAAATGCTGCACCTGGGTCATCCGAATGATGGCAATCGACTTCAATCATCTCATAGAGTACACCTCCTGCGTACCCAAGGAACTCATCGCCAAGGTGGTCTCGTAATACTAGGAAGACCTAAACCACGTCAGAAAGCATTCTTTGTCGTTGTGTGGGCATCTGACGAGCCGGATTCCATCACGGTACTGGTAGTTGCGAGGTATATGGGCGCAATATCTCACAAGAACGTCGCGGCATTCTGTGAGGTGTCTGTTAGTCAATGTTCTGAGTTTATCTCATGCCTACACTGACTCTCTTCGTCAAAGATATCTGTGATGTTCATGGACCGGTCTCTTGCGAGATACGCAGAAAACTGTGTGGTATCGTCCATTCCCATATCATCTGGTCTTGAATAATCGTTCGTTTAAGTCTGAATAGCAGCATACAAGCCTCGCAAGGTAGTTGTTCACGATATATATCGCGTTTGGGCATTCAATATATGAACTTTTCTGGTTGTTGTATGAGTAAGAGCACAAGATGAAGGTGTCCCCAACGTAGCGGAAGGGACATCTTGAGCTTGTACTTCCAGTGCAACGACACTCGTGATGCACACATCGCCTGAGGCTATTGAAAGAATGGCGACTTCCATTTTCGAATACTCAGCACTTGACACACGACAGGGAAGTTCAAAGGCAGAGTTCTTCTACATTTGACTCTAGGGTAGTCATATATATACCTTGGGTAAAGCTCAGAAAATGGTTCGTTGAGGCAATGGAAAGCAATTCTATATCTAAGGTGGTGTCACCTAGGTCGGCGGGCTTTCCGGCATGGAGACAATCAAGTCAATGGGGCGACTCCTTCTCATTGATTCACTCATTGAAGGCTACCTATTGTATAGAGAGAATCATTCACAGTAAAACAGTAAATCTTCCAATCCAATATGGCGAGCGGAATTTCTTACACATCGTAAATTGGAAACAGGACCAGGACCTTCTCGTCCTCATTCAACATAATCCCAGTCAATTACTAACGCCAGACCGTTCATTGTCAGACAGGACTGGATCTTGGAGAAATGAGATCTCGGCCTACTGCCCGGCATTCGAAGGGCCCACTTCCGGGCGCGCTGCAGTGCGACCCAATCCACTGGTGTAGTTAAGATACGTTAAGACCTGGCAGTATCTCATAGCCCAACCCTAACAGGGTTCATCGTCACCCGGCGCCCCTGCAACCGAGACAAAAGCCGGACCCGGTTGCGGCTTCCCGAAATCAACTCCCGATTTCCCAAATAGGCAGTCTCGATTCCCTGCTCTCCTCTTTGCCCCAGAAACCCCACACTCAAGACAGTTGGACCCCATGACGACAAGTGATTATTCGTCTCGCCAAACCACGAAGCGGATATTTTCCGTTGGCTAGAACATTTCGGCCAGAATCTCTATCTAAAAACAATGCGCCATACAGCAGATATGCACTCCACATCCCGTACCGAAGTCTGATGCCGTCAATTCCCCTCGGGTGTGAGTCGCACCAGACTTCTGCTTACTGCGTGTCCGGCCAGACCCCCGGCATCTCTAGATATCATGCCTATCGCATTTAGCATATAATATGCGACCCCCCATCAACTCTGCCTCTTGTTTCCTCAGATTGATCACATCAGTAGATACCTAACCAAACCACGCCTCTTCCTCTTCTACACCATGTCTCAATCACAGTCCGATCGCTCCCCATACTATGACATTGGTGAGTCTGAAGCTGTTGGCTATACCAACCAATTGAATTCTAACATCAATTCTGCTAGTCATTGTTGGAGCTGGCCCGGTTGGCCTCATGCTCGCAACATGCCTTGCTCGCTGGGGCTACAAGATCAAGCATATCGATAACAGAGCTGAGCCGACCCCTACCGGTCGAGCCGACGGCATTCAGCCACGCTCTCTGGACCTTCTTCGCAACATGGGCCTAAAGTCAGCAATCATGGCTCATCACCCAGCTCGCGTCTACGAAGTTGCATTCTGGGACCCAGCTTCGTCAGGAAAGGGTATCGCCCGGACTGGAACATGGGCCAGCTGCCCTGACTTTATCGATGCTCGATACCCTTTCACAACCTTGTTGCATCAAGGCCTGATCGAACGTGTCTTTATCTCCGACCTCGAGAAGAATGGAGCTCAGGTTCAACGGCCATGGACAATCAAGGGCTTTACATCCGATGAGAAGTCTAACCCCGAATACCCTGTCACTGTCGAATTGGAGCATGTCGATGGTACTGCCCAGGAGACCATTCACGCCAAGTATTTGTTTGGTGGCGAGGGTGCAAGGTCATTTATCCGCAATCAGCTTGGCATTGCCGTTCACCACAAGGATCCCATCGCCCATGTTTGGGGTGTCATGGACGGTGTCGTGAAAACCGACTTCCCTGATATCAAGGTAAGCTGAGCTTCTCAACAAGCCCTATTTCATGGTTTACTGACGACGCTCAGATGAAATGTACCATCCATAGTGAGCACGGCTCCATTATGGTCATTCCGCGAGAGGACAACATGGTCCGTCTTTACATCCAAATTGCATCCTCTACAGATCCCGATTGGAATCCCAGACGAACAGCCACCGAGGAGCAAGTGCAAGAATCGGCCAAGAAGATCTTGCAGCCTTACTCTATTGAGTGGGAGCGCGTCGAGTGGTATTCTGTCTATCCTATCGGACAAGGCATTTCAGAACGATACACACTGGACCAGCGAGTCTTCCTTGGTGGAGATGCTTGCCATACACATAGTGTAAGTCCTCCCGTGCTCCAATTATCACCACGCGCTGACACACCCACAGCCCAAGGCCGGACAGGGAATGAACACAGCATTCCTTGACGCCCAGAACCTTGCTTGGAAGATCCACGCCGTTGAATCCGGCTTCGCCAGCAGGGAAGTCCTCAAGACATACGAGACGGAACGCAAGCATGTCGCTGAGTCTCTCCTCGATTTTGACAACCGATATGCGAAGCTTTTCTCTCAGCGACCACCCGCGGCTGCTGAGGTCCAGGCTGCATCAGCCAACCATGGCAAGAACGATGTTCAAGATAACGAGTTCATCAATGCTTTCAAGGAGTCGTGCGAGTTTACCAGCGGGTACGGTGTTTACTACAAGCCCAACGTCTTCAACTGGTCACCAGAACATAGTGCACAATCCCCACTGATTCACCCCAAGGGGACCAAGCTACGAACCGGCCGCCTTTTTATCAACTCGAATGTGACGAGAGTAGTTGACGCCAACGTTGTGCATTTGGAACAGGAAGTTCCCTTGAACGGCGCGTTCCGATTGTTTGTCTTTGCAGGTGTCCCATCAAAGACCCGCCAGGCTTTGAAAGATTTCGCCAATCACCTCGGTAGCCAGCGATCATTCTACGCAGCTTATCAGCGGTCCGATCTCGACAAGGTCTCATACCACGAGAAGCACCTCCCACACAGCCGATTCTTCACCATCTCCACGATTTTTTCGTCCAAGAGACCTGAAATCGAAATCTCTCGCGACGTGCCCGGGGTGCTTGCCCGATATAGGGACCACGTTTACGCTGATGACCGATCCGATGCACGATTCCCTCAGGCGAAGGCTGTAGCCCATGCCAAAATGGGTCTTGATGAAGAGCTTGGCGGAGTGGTCGTTGTCAGACCTGATGGATACGTAGCAATTGTGGTCAGTCTTGTCGAAGGTAGCGGAACGGTGGATGCTTTGAACGAGTATTTCTCGACTTTTTGCACAAAGAAGTTGGGACCTACTTTGGCGCAGCTGTAGGTACAGCACTGAGGGGATGAAGACTGTTGAGCCAAAAGGTTGTCGAGACGTGCTGATTTGATGTAAATGATGGCTTTAGCGAATATACATATGGTGTTTAGATCATCTTACAATTGAAGTTACTGCATAAGTATACAAAGGAAAGAATCTCTCGGCGAAGCGATTGAGAGGTGGTCATGTGTCTCTACCAGAAGCTCAGCAAATTAATCGCGAACCATGCCCATTGCATATCCGTAGACGCCAACAAAATCCGATATCCTCAGACATGGGGGTGAGCCATCGAGAGCTCTGCTTTTAGGGAACAATTGTGTCGACAAAAGTTAGCATTGATTTACTATGATCTTTGTCCCAGAAAGTTCTTTGCTTGAGCCTACCTATTCTGAGAACCATTTACTACTAACCTACCAGGAGTAGATTCATAACTTGACGGATAGAACAAAGGGTCTTTGTCCTATGTTTTTTTGTTCTATTTTTTTTTCTAGGTGCATGGTCTTATCTAAGTTGGTAAATTACCTACGAAAGGCAAGGTAGTTGTACAAAGTCTCAGGATTGATCAACCGAGATCTCTCCAAACGTCTCACTCCTACCCTCGCGTGCTCAGAAGACCCAAATCAGATAACAGCAGCATCCATCACTCTCGTTTCGATCATGCTAGTTTAAATAATTGGGCTCCTGAGGTCATCCAATTAACTACGTGAATTTGACCAATCGCGGCGACGTCACGCGTAGCCCCACCTGACCTGTCAGTGCGGGCGCACTGACCTCCACCTGCATGTCCTGAGAGGCTGAAAGACTTCACGTCTTTCAACTGACCACTGTAGGTAACCTTCCACAGCGACATCATCCCCTACGGGCTTGCGTGGTCGTGATGGCATCACCGGAACGATTTGGATAAAGGAGAACTAATTGGGAAGTGGCTGTAGCAACACGACGCGACGCCACTGTTGTCGCGCTCACGCGTCTTGGGCCCGAGCTCGAGTGATCTGGCATGGTAAAAACCGAACTCGACTATTCGACTCGAATCCTCCTCCTTTCTTCTCTCAACCATCAACATCAACTGCAGCTTCGATCAGCTTCATTTTGACTCGTTCGTAACTTCGATTCTTGTAAGAACAATTTCGCATTAGCTTCGCAGCTTCCCGATTTCACTTTCGATTCACCGCTCGTACTTTACACTTGACACTGCTTGACACTTGCTGGCACCTGCACCACGGTTTGCTTCTGCTTCATTGTCACTGCGATACAATACAACACCAACAGCACGTTGCTGGCAGCCCGGGTTGCTTTGTTGACATCGCATTTCCCTGTCGGCTGTTTTACTTCTTTCCTCGTTTTCCAGCTGGATCACGATAACTTCATTCCACTTCACTTCACTTTTCTTCTTTCACGAACGCGACTGCTTCGGCTGGTCCAAGTTCCACATTGCACTTTCTAATTTTCACTTCAAACCCAACATTTCGCTCATCATGTCTTTCTCGCTTCAATCGCGCATTTCGGTCCACCAGTCCGCTAATCAAAATGGAAGCCCCGTGCCTTCGCATCTCGTGGAAGCTGCCGAAAGGCGACGGGAGCGACAGCAGCTGCAGATTGCCTCCAAGGCTAAAGCAACTACCCAGGTTCAAGTCTCCCTGCCTTCGCCAAAGGTTGAGTTTGTTACTCCTCCCAGGCAGATCAGGCGACCTACTGCGCGTCTTTTGATTGACTCACCACTTCCGCGCCGCGAGATTTTTCAAGATCCCGTTCTTCACAAAAGATTCATTGCCACAGAGTCTCCTCCCAATCTTAATCTTTACAGCAACCGAAAACCCCGACATAAACCAGAGGCCGAAACTGTCAACACAAATGACGAGGCCCCCAGCACACCCACACCCAAAACTATCACTACCTCTATCTCTGACCCCAATCTTGTTGTTGTCGATGGCATACAGACACGCAAGCGTCGCGCCGAAGATACTGAGATCGACCTTGTTGCCGCACAAATCGGTGTCACTGACACTTCCACCCCTATCGTTACTCTTCGCCAAGGAGAGACTGTTCCTAGCGAGGAATCTGGCCAACAGGCCCATGTAAGCCCATCTCTTGTTATTTGCATGCCTGCCCTTACTGACCTGATACTACAGACCTCAAACCGCATGCTCGGAATTACACCAGGCGCCAGATCTATCACCAGGATGATATCTAGCCTCTATTCGGCCTTCACAGGCATTGGTGAGACGATCACCAGAATCTGTAAGTTTCAGCCTCCACATAACATTGACAGTCTTGTGTTCCTTCTGTTCTAATTCGTTACTAGTACGACCTCAGTCCTATCAAATTGCTGAATGTCGCTCTTACTTGAGTGAAAACCAAGTCAGCAACAAGCGTGTCAAGATTAGCACCAGTTGTGATGGCAATGCGGCTTCCAACACATGCACTCCTGGTCAGAGTGCTGGGCTCCGCTGGATCGACCAAGATGGCCTTACCACATTGGTGGCTGACTATAAGTACTTCGCCAAGTCCTTCATGACAGTCTGGGAATGCCTTGAGCAAAAAGCTCGACAAGAAGCAAACAAAGACCTGGCACCACTTAGCGCTGACATAGTCGATGCCAACAATCGTTATGAGGCGCACGACCATGACTTTTACGATATCTTCACTTTGCAACTGCAGAGGATTTATGACTACTTGAACAGAATCTACGAAATCGGCGTTATCGTCAAAATTCGGGACAGCAACGAATTTGTTCCTCCCGTTCTTGACTACGGACTCTCTGCAGAGTTCGCCGCACACCTCGAATCGATTAAGCACTTTCTATCCGGTCCGGCGCTTCCTGTTGTTTGCAACAATATTCTCAAGAAGTGTGGGGAAGATTACTGGAACGTTTCACAGGCATTCCTGGATCGAGTTGTGCTTGATATTAAGGCTATCCTTCGCAACCTTCCCGCCCCAAGCTACGTTGACTCTGAAGAGTATCGTGGCAAGCTACAGGACATGTTCCCTACCCCACCACGAACTGACCTCGAGACGCGTTTCTTACTGCCAGGATCATTTCCTGAATTCGATGAGCTTAAGGAGCGAATCAATAAAAATCTTGATGAACAGACTGCTTCATTCACTGAGGCAGCAGCTACAAAACCCGCCGTTCAGGCTGCTCTACCTGAGCCAGTGCCATCGTCCCCTCGCCCTGATGTCGCTCGCCCTCACTACTACAAAACAGACTTTCTTCTCGCTGGGTTTGCTCATGAGAAGATCAAGCGGATAACACCCGCGGATTATCGCCAAACCTTTTATGAGGAAAGCAACGCACATCAAGCCCTAAAAACTCAATACATCACCGACTTCGCTCCCAAGGTTCCTCTTACCTCAAATGAAACCGGAACTCTCCGATCTATTCTTCGGAATCGACGAAAGCATCCGTCAAAGGTCACGCCCAAGCGTCTTCGCGTAACATGTCGACCCAAGGCTGTACGCTTTACGGACGACACCATCAGTCCGAAACCAAGAACACATCTGGGTCTAGATGTACCTAAGCAGATTAACTACGACGAGGAAACGGGAGAGGCCATTCCTCCGACCCAAGCATTTCAGGAGCAACGCCCTCATTGGACCCGTGGATGGCTCAACATACCACCTGTTCCCGCCGAGGAGCCACCCAAGAATACCACATTCAATCCTTTTAGCGTTGCTGAATGTCTCCGCCGTCGCCGCTTAGAAGAGCACGATGGACGTGACTTTGATACGCGTATCAGAGAGATATTTGAGCTTCCTTCCCTCGATCTCCAGATCAGCGACGACTCAAAGGCCGGGATTGACCATGAAGTCGAAGAGGCCACTCAAAAAGCTGCTGAAGAGGCTCGTTTGGCTGCTGAGGCAGCGCAGCGTGAGGCGGAGGAGAGGGCTCGGAAAGAGCGCGAGGAACGCCTCGCTCGATCTGGAGGACTTCGCGAGCCTAATCAGACATTCGTTGCACCAGTTTCACCGGAATGGCACACAAGGGCAATGAACACACTCAATGCTGCATCGTCCACAAGCCTTGCGAAGTCTGCCGAGGGTGTTGATCTCCGAAAACACGACTTTGCCAAGATCGTGTCCTCAACTGAATGGCTAAATGACGAAATTGTCAACGCGTCTCTTGTCTGGCTCGATCGAGCTATCAACTCAGCTGCCGGCATTAAGGATGTCAAGCGGAACACTCGCAAGATCTGGACCCCGGGCTCATTCTTCTTCAAACGCCTTCAAGATCAAGGCACCGGCAATACCCAGAGGACACTGCGCCGATACGGCATCGAGAAAAGAAACTTTCTCGACATTGACACCATTCTCTTACCCATTTGCGAGCATTCCCACTGGACATTGCTCGTCATTCGTCCCTCCAAGCGAACAGTCGCCCACATGGACTCGATCAATGCAGGCGGCAACCGTTCTTACACCGCGCGTGCCATGGCGTGGATCCGAGACATTTTGGAGGAGAGATTCATTGAGAATGAATGGAAGATCATTCTCCACGAGGCTCCTCTACAGAACAACGGCCATGACTGCGGTGTTCATACTATCACCAACGCTATGTGCCTCTCCTTGGGCATTAGTCCTATTGAGGCATACACTGCCGACGACATGCCCACTCAACGTATTCGCATCGCCTGCATGCTTCTCAACGGCGGGTTTACAAATGATTTTGACCTGCGAGTTTATTAGGATTCCAATACCACTATCGGATAACACTTATCAAATACAGACTACTTTATTATGGCTTATGGAAGGGGCAGGCGTGGCTTTTTTGTACAAGGCGTTCAGGCAGAGAAAGTACTGGGGAAAAGTGTTTCGGGTGAGATACCACTGCATTGCATTCATTGTAGGAGTTATAGTTATTATTTGGTCCACGAAGGGACGACTGTTGGTCTAGCCCAGCCGCGGTGCTGGATGAATAAATACATAAATACAATTCTCAATACTCAATTTTCTCTGCTCTGCATCATCAAGTATGCTCGGGATTAGGTGCCTAGCCCATGATAAGACTTGGTGTTTCTTATTATTGTATCATAGAATTTAAACATGAATAACATTCTAGACTCCTTTCCTCGCGAGCTTTGTATTTGCGTGTTATTGCAACTTTCCCCGCCATAACCTCTGGTCTGCCACGGATAGCAACCGGGGCATGCTGTGAGTGGCTTGTAATTAATACCAACCCCAAGGAGACGGGAGCTGATGGGTTCTGAGCGCTCTTGGGCAGTCTCGAGAGAGAAGCGCAAGCCATGAACCACATAACGAAGGCAACGATCACGCAGATTTCTGGACCATCGGCGTGTCATTGTATTCCGCTTTCTCTTACGTACAGCTGCTAACTTGTCAGCCATAAGCGAGCGAGCTCGGGTAAACGAGCCTCAGAGAAAACAGCAACAACGGGTCTGTGATGCCATCCCCCACAACACCACAGGCCAAGTGGGCGACGCGTGGGCCTCCGGGTCTACTGGGATCAAAATCGTGTCGTGTCGTGTCCTATGCTCTTGTCTGGTCCCCTCTTACGTTTCAATTACGCCGAGGTCGGCCATTGACAAGTTCCGCTGTCACCATCTAACCGTTCGCTTGGACAATGAAATAGTTGGATCAAACTGGGGAATTTCTCAAGGCCCAAACATGAGTCAACAGTAAGCGCTTGAGCCGGTGCTTCTATTATTGATTAGATTGGGAGGACAAATGGAGCAAAACTTGGTGATTTGCTCAACTCGGTATGGCTAAAGGCAAGACAGGACAAACCCAGAGGCTTGGACACGGCCAAGAAGAATAGAACACTGTCCACCTTGATGGTCCTTCAAACAAGGACGGCTCAAATATGCTGTCAGAGAGAAAGCTTTGGTTCCAACAGAAAGGATTCTGTGTAAAGTACTGGCACCTGACCAACCGCCGCCCTTTGTTCACAATAGCGGAATAGAGGTCAAAAAAGGCTTGGCATTTGTTGGTGGTTCGCGTAGGGCTCATGGAGACCATTAGGAAAGCTTGGCAATGGGATTCTAGAAAGACTGTAGCAAACAGATTCCGACAAAGAAAGGCCGGGTCTACCAGAGGCGTTAGAGTAGAACTGATGGTTTCGACGTTCCACCAAGCCCGAAAACCTTGACATATCCGATGCCCATGCAAAGCGAGGAAAGACCAATGTTTGCAGACTGGCGTGCGTGCTTGTTGGGTTGGCTCAGGAACTTCGGGCCACTCGAAATAAGGTATCGCATCCATGGCCACGGTACGCCGACACTAATAGGCGCGTGGTGATCCAGGGTCCTCAGCCGCAGGGCACTATTCGATATGTGGAAGCGGTTTTGCCACAGGCAATGCACCAGAAAGAGGCGGATCGAGAAATAGGCCCGTTGATATCCACGCCCCAACTCAGTGACGATGGCCGGTTCTACTGTTGGACGACAATGAAACGAGCTGAAGGCAAAAGGGTTCTGTTTGTTTGTTTGTCATGCGCGCGGGTCTGCTGCAGACGAACCAGACCTCGACAAGTCAGATGCCTGTCCGTCTGCTCTGAATGACACAGTGTATACTTTATCAATGGGGGCAGTGCGAAACGATGTTACCCTCGTCAACTTTTATCGCCTGTTGGATTGAACCTATGAGTATCGCGTCGCGTCGACAACTACCGGTAGCGACTCTGTGTAGGTAGGCTACGGAGTTGGTCCGTACGGTCATCGTTGATTCCTTTCACGATCCTTCTACCGATGCGGACCGATCTTGGAAAGAATTAGAGACGCCAGGGATACGGCACCATATTAAATGTCGCAAATATAGACGGCGTCGTCCGCTTACTGGGTCGCGCGCTGTGGGGGGCCATCGCATCGTATCGCATCGCACCGCGTCTAGCCTGTATGCCAGCAATGTGATGCGGTGCGATATGACTCTCGAAGCGACGACGGCGTCCAAACGGTACCCTCTTCTGATGCCCGTAGCCAGGGTCCCGACTCATGTCGCCAGCTTGGGTGCGAGATGCCTGTGTCAAGCAAGTTCCAGGCCGTTGTAGCGGCAGAGGCTTCCTGACATGGATGGTCTGGCTGCAAAACTGGAGACGGAGAGAGAGACAGTACTGTGAGGAAAATCGATAGTTCCACTAAAAGCTTTGCTTTGGGGCTTCGAAAAAAGTCTTCTGGAACGCGCCGAGAAGGGAGGGGAGCGGAGGCTGCGGAATTGGCTGAATCTGGGTCTAACTCTGCCGGGGCGACAACGAGATCGTGCGCTTGTAGGGGATCTGATACGACACGCAAGACAAAGAATTTTTCTCTGCTTCCAACCCTTCCTCGGGTCGGGTGCGATGTGTTTCGTTGGTGGTGAGAGATGGAGACACGGCGAGGCCGGTTGGAGTTGATGAGTGGTGACACTCTAGGCCACTCCATCCAATCCAAGGGCTACGGTACCTAGAGAGTAAGGTACAGTAGCAGGGCAAGGGTGGGTGTGGTGTGGTTCGTGTAAACGTGAACGGATACCCCAGGGCCGTTTGGTCCAATTAGGAAGGCTTCCAGAACGAAATAAAACGGAAGCTGAAGTAAAAATTGTTTCTAGAAGGATTCTACCACGGGAAGGCTTCCAGAATAAGCCAGCTTGGCCAGCCACAGCCACCAACAAACAGCTTCAGGCCCAGCCAAGAGAAGCATAGCATCTCCTCATTCGGTTGGCATTCTAATGAATCTGCCTGTCACTTTCCTTGTTGGCATGGCCCGTGCTTCTGCTCCATTACCTGACGTTTGTTCAGGGCCCTGTTTATTGGCCTCAATCCATCCATCCATGGCTGTTGAGCACAACCTACAAAGTACAATAGCGTTGAAAGAAATGGTGCGCCGTACTGTCCTGTGCTGTAAAACATGGCTTCCTGTAATACCCGAAACCCTGGCGTACATTATGTAGCATTGCACCATAGTTCTCGATCTCGGCAGCCTGGAATATTGGGCACAATCGTAGTGCAGTGCAGGCACTCGGGTTTGATCCCTACGAGAACACTTGTCAGTGTCGATATGTCCACTCGTAAAGTGGCTGCCTTTGGTGTATTGTCGATGACGGCTGCCGGGCATTTAAAACAAATGTGGTCTTTTCTCCTGTTAGTTACCGCAACATATCGTCAGTCGGCCCCTTTAGAGTTACACAAAGTTCTCACCCCAGTATGACTGACACCACCAAGGCATGTCTAAAATGTACAGGTATGTTGATAATTCAACTTGAGCCGAGATTTGGTAATGTACCCCTTTATGCCCACCTATACCGAGAATCACTAACTATGGCGAGCATCGAGAGGCAATGCGATGATAGGGGCAAGACTTGAGTATCAACACAATACAAACACATACAGCATCGTGTCTGTTTTCCTTCTCAAGGACTCCCCAGTATCAGTCCGTTTGCAGAATAAAGTCTCAGCCCTGTACCATGCCCCTAACGAGGTTAGACCTGCAAAAAACCGTTTGGGTGATGGGAATGAGCAGAATGACGGCATGGTCCATTCCAAGGGATGCCTCCACATTCTTGCCCCTCAGAGATGTCTCCCATTAAAGGCCAAGGCCAATTACGGCCAAGACAGCTGGAGCTTTCTTATTGCACAAGAATTGGCATCGGTATGTGGGCGTGAATCACTGTCATCATGATCGCCAGCCAATGCTGTCGTCCATCAGCATGCGTAACCAGCCATCAACCACCACAGTTTGCTCTTGCGTTGAGGGCTCAGCCGACCTTTGGTTGGCCTGCTGAGATGATCCTTTCACCCTAGACTTGAGGACGATTTCCGCAATCATATAGCGCCACAGTGTGGTCAGATGTTTTGTTAGATGGGTCAGAACTCCACTGATGAATGCCGGTCCAGTAAAGAGATACGATACTTCAGAGAAGAAGCTCAGGGTGTGCTGAGATTAAATTCCGATGCCCTGAAATTGACTCGATGCCGCAGTTCGAGTCTATGTACCTACCTGATCAAAGAACAGGTATAGCACGGTCACGATTCGACATCGTGCATCTCGATATCTCCATTGTCAATCCTTGATATCCGAATATGGTTCAGGGTCTGTACTCACTGCCTAATCTGCAGCCATCACTGAAAACAGAGACATCTCTGGTCTCTCAGAATATGACACACAAAGTGATTGAAAAAGAAGCAATTGGAACAAGGGCTGCAAGGATTAGATGCATTCTATTGCTAATACTTGTTCGATTTGAAGCTTCAGTCCATCTCACGCCGCAATCGTTCGCCTAAGCGCGGCTATTCATGGCGTTTGTTCTCTCGACCTGAGCTATCGCGCAATATCAATTGGTCACCTTGCTGCAGAAGGAAAGCCGTGATGAATCCAGTAACTCACATTTTGCGGCTCTTTTAGGCGATTCGGCATCTCTCCCCGCCTCCAATATGAGGGGGACGTTAATACCTGGCCTACCTGGTCAAGGATCCAAGGGTCGTGTTGGAACATTCACCGACCTTTCGCCCTTTGACCAGTATGACCAGGGGCCAGCAAATCATACTGATGCCATCACAATGTGCCATGTATCCAGCACGATCGACCGAGATGTCGCTGTGGTAATCAGAAACGCTCGAAGTCGTGTGGTGCGGTGCGTAGCAAACCCGGGCGGCTGGGCAGGATAGCACCGGCTTCTTTAAATCTCCGAAGGTCGGTAAGATTGGCTGTGAATACAAACTGACAAACAACCATATTCCCTACCTTAGAGGAGTCCCTGGAGTGCTACGGGACGGGAGCTTGGAGGAGTCCAGTTTCCTTTCTACGCACCATGCTGTATAATCATTGACGCTGCCAATAGGGATAGCAGGATGTTATCATCGCGATCGGCCGAGCTACCGCTGTCTAGCGTCAAAGCCAAGATGGATTTGAGGGTCGAAGGCCCAGTCGCAAGGCCCTGTCTCTCGCGCCGTCGCTCTGTTGCAGGGGCTCTGAGAGTGGGACGCTCCACTGAATTAGAGGCTCATGAGGGGCACCTGGTACTCAAGGACGGCATTTGATTGATCTTGTGAGAGGGCTCGAGGAGGATCCAAATTAGTAGAGGTCTGTTTGGGAAGGCGGTTGATAACAAGGCAGTAAACCGCTGCCAAGAGGTCATCGACTTAGTTAGCAAAGACGAAGACCGTCAGTAATGTGAAGGGTCCTTACAGGTATCAGATGCAATAGGTGATGCTTTGTTCGTCACTGATCACACACTTTCGAGGCAAGGCGAAGCAGGCAGATAGATATGCACAGTAATGCTGTGGTTGTCGCAATCTGCACACCACTTTTTCGGTATTAACAAGACATCCAATGCAACGCATCCGATACATGCACTGCAGATTAATTATAAGCTCCTTCCAACGTCACGAACTTGATATTAAGAGGCATGTGTGACGCAAAAGTTGATGCCGGCTACCCAAAGCAGTCAGGTCAAGGCCAAGCCCGAGAGAGCGAGAGGCTAGACCCCGACGATGACGATCCCGCCTTGGTTTTTGGTTGCCCACTCATCCATCCATCCATTGGATTGGAGGACATCACTGATCACTCACGGCTAGGGCTAATTAACTTACCTTGGGGTGTAAATCTCCCGTTATTGCATGGTGATCCTCGGATCGAGCCTTTGAATCCAAAGGGCAATAAATACTTTGACTATCGCAATGAAAGATCATGAGAAGGAAGTGAATGAACACACCACATTTCATTCATTTGAACTGTCCACCTTTAATGGTACACATTCTTCTCACAAGAACCATCGATCGATCCCTTTATTCCGTCACAAAGGGCAATTGGGGTGAGAGCGTGCGGGGAAACCGGCCACCATTGGCTCATCATATTATCCCCGCGCCGATATTGCATAATGAAAAGTGCATTGCGATGGCGTGTTATGTCGCGCTGTGTTTACCTCTGTTATCACCCTGTTCTGGTAGAGCTAATTCACCTGAATGATCAACCACTGCGATCGAGATGACAACAGCTATAAATACGTGAGGGTCGAGAATAGACCACCAAGAGATCAGAGAGCAAAGATGATAAAGAAAGAAACAGGCAGACAAACAAACAAACAAAACTTGGCAGACAGACAGACAGACCCCATTGAGCCTCCACCATTAGCCACAATTCTGCCCTTCCTAACCTTCTAGCGTTATTCTACATATCGATATGAGGGCGTCTAGGGTGTCTGTCTGATCTGACGGATGGGATGATCAAGACAGCAAGTTTACGTTTGCATCTCCTCAGTGGAGCTTGAACCAAGCCGCGTTGCTGTCGATGATGGTCAAGCCTCGCCCTCAAGGAGCCAGGTCATCGCCCGTTACATTGCATTGATTGCATTGCACACGGCACGGCACTTCACCGTCAGTCATGCATTGTCTTGTGCGTTGCTCCCTTTGGCCCGTCCATCCGTCTTGTTAGTGCCACTGCGTCACGCTCAGCCGACTAATTTGCCACACTCAGTCATTCCGTCCCGTGCTCGAGCCTCACTGCACTGTCCCCACGCGACTTACATAATTCTGATCTCAGCTCAAGTAGCCTTCGGCGTTGTCCGTAACTTGGGTTAGAAGAGTCGGTTTTTTTTTTTCGTGTCTCTTGTTTTTGCTTTCATGAGCAATGCTCTCTTCAGTCAGCCACGTGCCTGAATCAGGGGACTTTTCCTAACTCCCCTTGCGTGTGCCAGGTTATCAGGGGGCATGTCTAGCAGGTTGTCGGTTATCGACGCTGCTTAGAATGTGCCTTTCTCCGGCAAACGTTTGATGATGCTGTGATGCTTTAGGCCATTCATGGTTCTCTGGATCATACTTCACAACGGCTCGTAGAGTTTATCTTGATGCCTTGCTCTGTGCTAACTCAGTCACGAGGCGGTGCAGTCTACTAATGTTCCAAGATGAACAACAGGATATTCCATATATAGAAAGAAGAGAATTGGAATAACCGGGAGACACCTTAATACATTAGTAGGTACCTTAGGTAATACTTACCTACCCCACGCAACAAAGAGAATGTATTTATTAAGCTGGACCCCTGTTCAACGATCAAGGCGAAGGAGTAGAGAAGGAAAAAGAAGAAGAAAATGCTTCTAAAAGCCTTCTTTGCTTGAACAGTCAGGCTGAAAACATATACATACCTTACCCTGGTCGTAGACAACTGGGCAATTCTGTACATATAGGTAGGTAGGTACGATAGGTGACCCTTGTCAGCAGCATTCGTCCAGTCGTGGCGATGCGATGTGATGCGATGCGATGTGAACAGGGGTACATGAGGTGAGTGAAGCTCCATTGTCCTAGTGGAGGCCTGGGGGCAGTCCAAGTCCATCAGTGGCTTTGGGCTGTAAGGGGCGCTATTGGTTTCTGACAGGACCCAATATGGCCTTGTGGTGAGTGCTGAGTGGTCCCTGCCCTTCCTTGCACCTTCCATTTCGTCGTCGTCGCCACCTCACCTCACCTTTGTCGGCTTCCATTTACCTAAGGGTACCTTTACCCTCGCATCCAATTGGAGTGGCCTGTCTCGTCGCCCCCGGCCCCGCCCCTGGTTGTCTCTGTCATATGTTTGGCTCTCGTTGATCCCGTCATGCCAGGCTCGGTTTTTTTCTTCGCTGTAACTTGACTGGTGTCGCAACCGTAACAGACACAGACAGGAAACGGTACCTCAGACACTCTGTGTTTCTACGCGTACTCCAGCTTCTATTGGCCGAATTGATTCTTACAATCTCATTCAGTGAATGAGACCTGAAGCACTTTGCTCTCTCCGTCAATTACGGGGGATCCCAGTGCTAATTCTGCAGTAATTCTTTGGTCTCCCGATCGTTTGGTTTGGTTTGGTTTGGTTTCGCTCCCTCCGCTTGGTACAGGCGTTATTGACGTCGTCCTTGCTAAGCACACCCCCCCCTGATTCTATCCGCCCTTCCCTTCCATCCCGGTCTCTTTCAGTTTCTTGTCCTCTTCATCTCCACATCAACCTCTCCACCCTGGGTTGTTTTCTGTCTCCGTCTGGCTCCTCATCCCTCACTAGTAGCCCAAGCTGTTCCAGAGAGAGAAAAAAAAAACCCCAGACCAAGTGAAGACGAAAAGAGAGAATTGGGGGGGGAAAGGCAAATTCTCGTCGGGAGCTTTCTCTTTAAGACAAGCCCAGGCCCAGCCCCATTCATCGCCCGCTCTGATCGCCTTCCTTTTTCTGGTGTACAGTTCTGTTTCGCAGGTGACGACACACGACACGACGTTATCGGCCTTTTCCTTATAACTCGTCACTCACATCGATATCGAGACGCACGCAGAGCACGCTCTTTTTTTTTTTTTTTTTTTTGCCATTGATCTGAATCTCGGACACGATACTCCTATAGGCACAATTAGCATACCAGGCACCTGTCCTGTTTCAACTGTAAGCTCCTTTCCCCTCCTTTTCTTGACAAAGATCCCCAAAACCCAATACCACCAGACCAGACCAAACTAACAAGCCAGCCAACCAACCAGCAGATCTGCCGCCTCGACTGAACTTTAGCGCTCCTCCAACGCCGCTCATACGCCCGCCGCGCCCACGGTCCCTCACTCGCCCTTTCACCTCCACAGCCCACAGCCTACTCTACAGTATAACTGGGGTCTCGACCTTTATTACACTTTGGATCCCCCAGGTCCGCATTCCTACTGTTGTATTCAAAACTGCCTCTCGCCCAAACCCAATCACTCTTTCGCTCTAGACATCCACCTGTCTTCCCGATAGACTCACGGCCGGCTGCGCACCGTCGAACTCTCGTCGCCTTCGTCCGCCTCCTACTTCTATTCTTCTCTGCCCGGCCTTCGCCAAGCCCTCTGGCACAGGTCACCATCCGCAATCCGTCTACGACGACATTCACCGGCTCGCCGCTCCAACTACCCTCGCATTCCAATCCCTTAGGTACCACCCAGCAACCTCGACGGCCTCGACCCTGCCTTGCGCCATCTCCGTTTTGGGATTGATTGCCCTCGAAACGTCACATCTACAGCCTCCAGGCGGACTTGTTTGTGATCACGTCCGATCACCAATTACACTATCTGTCCTGTCCGTTGGGGCATTTCTGACTTTGGTTCCGTGTCTGCGATCCTGGACCCTCGATCTTGGCAATCTCTAAATCCTATTTCTCGCCTCCTGGTCTTCCTCATCGTGTGCCCTCTTCTTGTGGTACAGATTGGCGCTATAACAAGCCACTTTTCTCTGCATATCTCTCGTCACCACTGCGGCCGTTCCCTGCGTGTCCACTCTGTGATTTCCATCGACAAGCTCACAGGATAGTTGGTCCTTTATGGCCTTATCGTTCCTGCGGTAGCCTACTTCTAGACCCGACGCCTCTTCCTTCTGTACCGTATGAGCATCTGGGCCAGTCTTACTGCGTCAGACATACAGTCCCCACTTGGTGTCGCTCTTATTACTTGACCTGGTCCCCTCCCTTGGAAACGCTCCAAGACCTGGTCCGTTTCCTTATTTGATCTTTTGACTACTCTACTACTCGGCCTGGGACGCACAGAAGCGTTCCTGACCATAGAATGATGGGCGTATCACGCTCGCGGAGGCAATCTCTCGAATGCCATGGATGCAACATACCTCCGCCATCCCCTCAACCTTCTTCGGCCTTCGAGGACATCTTCGACGTCGATTCGCCTGTGTCAAGGCCTGTCAGCGAGGCCTTCATGTCTGGAACCTCCACACCAAACGGCACAATAGGTTCTCGGCCACCATCTCTCTCCGAAATTCTTCTCGATGTTGCGTCGCCACCATGGACCCTCAGCGCCTTCATGGCCTACCTGTCGCAAAACCACTGCATGGAGAGTCTTGAATTTACGCTCGACTCACAACGGTACGCCGCCTTTTACAACGAGATGATTACCAACAATCCGAACCGCACACAAGAGACCAACGACCGTGTCTGTATTTTGTGGGAAAAGCTTATGCAAGTTTACATCATCCCTTGTGCGCCTCGAGAGGTCAATCTCCCGGCCCGTATCCGCGATCAGCTGCTCGGCCTTCCTTGCGGCCCAACTCCCCCTCACCCCGCACAGCTGGATGAGGCCGGCCGAATCCTCTATGAACTCATGAACGATTCGCTACTTTTACCCTTTCTCCAATCTGTCGCTCCCATGCAGCTCGATGGACCCGTCGACGAGCATGGACGCGGATCTCGCCGTTCCTCAAACAGCAACACTCGAATGGGCGCGCCTGTCCGCTCAATGAACTCGATGCACCACACTGACCCTGAGTCCCTGACTGACGACAGCGACTGTAACTCGACTCCTGGTATGGAGCCCATGACTCCCCCCACCACACCGCCTACTTCTGAATGGGCTTTTACAACTTCCCCAGGGGGTCTTCAACGTGCTGTGGCCGCTCACAACAAGGGCTGGAAGAAGATGGGCGCCAAGTTGGGTTTCAATCGCAAGAGCTCACGAACACGCTCCGCCCCTACTTCATCTCATCCTCCTCCACCTGAGGGATATCATATGCATCACGACTCCTTATGAGGGTCACAGGTCGTGTCATTGCCTGAATCATCCGACGAAGCCTATTGGACTCATGAGATTTCACAAGAAGCTCCTGAGGCTGAAGGCTCGTATCATGGTCACCCTCTGCATAGCAACTCGAATGCAGCAGATGATGGTTGGTACCACAACCCTGACCTCCAACAAGATGGTGGTTTCGGGGATGGCACGGCCGCGAAGTCTGACACCGCTCGAAGCGGTGCGAAGGCGTCTCTCGTGCAAAGAAATATACGCATGAGAAGACGACAGAACAAGCCCCCGGAGCTTGTAACCAACATGCAGTCGGTGAGGAATAAGTACACTGCTCAGTCCCATCAGGCTTCCGCCACACCTTCATATCGTCCTGATCTGCCTGCTCTACTAGTATCGTCTGACTATGCAGGAAACAACAACATCGATAACACCTCAATGCCAATGACTGATGTGTCTAATTATCTGCCCACGCCCACCACCAGCAATGAGGACATGAGGTGCCCATCGACAAGTTCAGGAACGGAAGCGTTCAGATACGCTTCTCCAATAGAGGACATGTATGGATGGGATGCGGAGCTCGAAAGGCGTGAAGCTTCACCAAGCCGGGACTCGATGAGCTCCACCGAAGGTCTCGATGCCTTTGCTCTCAGCTACAGGCGAGCCAACGGTAGCAAGCATAGCTTGCTGCAGCGAGTCTTCCGCGTTGGCTCTTCTTCATCTATGGGCAAGATGGAGACAGCTGTCTGAGGTGCTGGGGTTTAGGCCAGCTTATAGGCCTGTTTTATTGTTTGATATTCATTTTTACGACGTCCAGTTTGGCATTTTGCACACATGGGATTGTCACCGGCCATCATGTGATAATGGTGGTCGTGTACGGCAGGCAAGGCGTTGGCGGGTCCATCATTTGTTACTTGGTTTCAACTGCATCACGGCTTGGGGTTTGGAAGGTCATTTTTATTTATTTGCAAAATTACTTGGCTTTGAGTGTACGCACTAGGCCACTCATCCAAAGGGTTTGGGTGATGAGACTGCATTTTCACGAGGCGATAAACGAACGACTGGGCGGGTGGCAAAGAAAAAAATGCCATGAGTGGCCGGTCTGACGATGACGATTACGGCCTTTCGGTTTTGGTAACGATTTTGGATTAATACGAATGGGTACAAAGAAAAGAAAGAGAAGGACTCTTGTGTCTAGTTAGCCATTGATACCCCCACCCTTCCTCAACAGGAGGGAATCTAGACTTAATGTCTTAAGAAACATATTACATTAACAAAACCTCGTTGTCTTTACTGTTGTGTGACTGTTAAACATGAGCTGAAACGGACTTCAGTGTGACCCCCGGGAATGGCCCAATGCCATCGGTAGCAAGAATGTTACAATCACAGCAAGTCCAGTTGAGCAAGCCCGGGACGGGAGTAAAGTTTCGGAATGTGATGGTCTGGAATGTCAAGCCGATTATCAAGCCAAAAGCAAAAGGCAATCTTTGACATTGGAAGATGAGGTGTTCAACTTTACTTTCACAGGTAAAGTACACAGATCTGGTTGAATCAATAGTCCTTGTATATATTGGTGCGTTACTAACGAAAAGGGAACTCATTAATCGACATGGTTATCACTTTATCCCAGGACATACCTTTTATGATACTCCACCGTGGAAGCTATTGTCAGTAGAGGCTGGTAGAAACAAGCTTCCACGATCATCAGCCTTGAATGGAAAGCTTGATAGATGGCGTATAACTTGTTCTTATCCTTGGGAGTATCCCCAGTCGCCATTACAAATTTTTGCTCTCCACTGAGCTGTCCCCCCCGACCATGCCTCACTATTTTTTGGATAGTGATCCAGCCCTAGTCGGTCGGCTTATCGTGGCGTGAATACATCTGCCATTCCAGCGAGCTGGCAAAGTCAAGCTTTCCTTGCTCAACTTGCTTCCGTGTCACGGTAAGCATGGGCTTTGGTAAACCCATAGACTCTAAGTAGGCAACAGCTAAAGGTTTGTGTGAGTGCGGTAACCTAGTCATGGCAGACACAGATGGGATGGGAAATTGGTCATAGTACGCACATTCTTTCCACTCGAGATCCTTTCGTTGACGGCTCCACTTGAGCTCTTCAGCCATGATGTCTATTACCTTGGGGAGGGCTTCGAGGGCAGCCTGCGCATTGAGAAAGGCTAGTCGCGTGCGTCGAGCGAGAACATCAACGGCCGTCTGGGCGTACTCGTGTCGAATAGCATATCGAATCTCACCATCAACAAATGGATAGAGCTGGGAGATGCGTTCACCACGGGCGGGGAAGCGCTTGTCAGTCAGCTTGCAAAGCGAGGCAACAGTCCAGGCACGATCACCATAGGACTCGGTCAAGTGTTTGGCGACCTCAGTCTCAACCCCAAAGTGCTGGATAATAGGGATGAATAGTGTTGGGCTAAAGCCGTGAGCACCAAGTAAACGAACCTTGTGCGTCTGACATTTGCCATCCAATATTGCCCCATCGTCAATTAGATCGGTACCGCTGACACGAGGTGCATCTGCAACAGGCCGGGGCTCAAGACGAAATTCTTGAATGGCAAAGTCCACGCACTCCTCTGCCATTTGTCTATAGGTTGTCCATTTCCCGCCTGCACAAGTCAACAAGCCAGAAGCGGAGATATCAATCAGATGATTTCGAACAAGGGACTCGGTGTTCTTGGCTTTAGGGTCCTTGACGAGCGGGCGAATACCGGACCAGGCAGCGAGGACATCACCTCTGCGAACATTTATCTCTGGGGAAAGATAGTGGCTTATTTCGCTCAGGATCCACTCGATAGACTTCTCGTCGGGTAGAGGATTTGGTGTGATGGTCGAAGGGGAATCGGTGGTGCCTGCGATAGTGTTGCCTTGCCATGGGAGGAAGAAGATGACCCGGCCGTCAGACGTCGACGGATCGATCAGTCCCATTTTCCCTGGACTGAAATAACCAGGGAGAATGACGTGAACTCCAGATGCTGGGGCCACAATTTCCTTGCAGCCTGGGTCGTCCATTTTTCGAACAGAGTCAGTAAAGGGCCCCGTACAGTTGATGACACTCTTTGCGCGAACAGTTATGACTTCGGCTGGTCGACCATCCTTTACAGAAACAAGATCCCTAACTATGGCGCCGCAAAGGTTTCCGTCGCCATTCTTTATGAGTCCTGTGACCTCAGCATGGTTGACAACAGTTGCGCCATAGAGGGCAGCGGTCATTGCGATAGAAACATTCATGCGCGAATCGTTATGTGCACCGTCGTAGTACACGAGAGCACCGACAAGATCTGTAGGTTTAAGCATAGGGAAGGCCTCAAGTGCCTTACTTCGAGTCAGAAAGTAAGACCCCTCAATGCCTTCACTACCGGCAAGAAAGTCATAGAACTTAGTGCCAGCCCAGTAATAGGGAGCTTTCCACCACTTATCGAGAGGCAGCATAATGGGGAGCCAGGAACTCAGATGGGGTGCCGTCTGTAGGAAGTACTTGCGCTCCTTTAGAGCCTCCTTGACGAGCAAGTACTGGTTATAATCCAAGTTCCAGACGGCTTTCTCGAGATAGCGAACACCTCCGTGAACCAGCTTGGTACTCTTACTGCTCGTGCCGCTGCTGAAATCGTCACGTTCGACGACAGCTACTTTGAGGCCACGAGTAGCAGCGTCGAGGGCGACACCAGCACCAGTGGCACCACCCCCAATGACAAGTATGTCATATTGTTGGACTTGAGGCCGTGAGCTTCCTCGGAGTTGGTCTAGCTGCTCTTCGCGTGTTTTGACACGAGGAAATCGGGGAAGCTTGAAAGTGCCATCAGCGCCAAAGGTTGGAGGCGGAACTGCGGGTGATGTATGGCCAGTGAAATCACGGGGACGGTAGCTATAGATGAGAACAGCCGCAGATGTAGTGACAACGCCTGGCAGCCAGAACCGGCGAATGAGTCCTCTTGGCGCGCCTGCAAAGGCCGGCATTTGTGGCAACAGTACAACCTTCAGCGGTAGTTTATTCAGAGACTTGGTGCGATATCGCGATGAAGAAGGTGTGTGGTATTTCGACTGAAACTATATGCGAAGTTCTGTGTCTGTAAGAACGAACTGGTACCAAGGTGTTGGTTATGCGACAGTGATGGGGACGATGTCTTGGTCGCACTGCAATGACGATATCACCGACTGAATACACCCGCAACTATAGAGAGATAAGAAGGTCGAGAACGGTTTGGGACATCTCAGTCCAATAGTCTAGATATCTTGCTTGAGGAAGAAAAGAAACAAAGAAGTTGAAGAATGAAAGAAGAAGAAAATACAGAGAGAGTCAGTGGAGGTAAGTGGAGGTCCTCACCTCCATATGACGAAACGTGTTGGCACATGTAAACCATGACAAAGACAAGACCTCCCTCCCCTCTTCTCTCCTTCTCGTTGAGTCTGGGGCTGGGTGTGGAATTAACTTTAGAGTTGGTTTTGGGGTAAGCGCGATGAACCCGAACGTACATTCCTCGATGGATACTGTTGAACCGGGTGAACCGGGATAGACCGTGATAACTAGAGAGTCACTAACCTAAAGGTGGCACACCTTGTTTTTGGCCTGACGGTTTAACACTTTCTCCCTTAATAATTAACAACTGGCTTCTCCCCCTTTCTGATCTTAATCTTGGAGTCTTAATTATAGAGTGAGAATATCAACCATTTTTTAATTGCTTCATATTATAGTATCTTCTATGTCTGTCTGATCATCCATTAATCGAAAAACCAAACGCCACTCCTGAAGAAGCAAACACCAAACCTCGCTATCCAGCACTCCATTAGAAACAAACAAAGGAAACACGCACTGCATTGAATATGCACGCGTACATTGTAAGCAGAATCCATCCATCGACCCAGCCCAGTCTCTCCCTTCCCTAGCGACTCTCTACCGTCTTTGCAAAGAGGATATCAACAAAACACGTAACATAGCTGTGCCCCCCTTTACCAGCCTCGATATCGTTGGATAACTGAGTGCCAATATCGTTGGCGCCGAAATGCCCCATAGACTGCAGCTCGATACCTGCTGCAGCGGACGGTTTGGATATTGTTCTCTCAATTGTTATTGTGTCGACCTCAGAACCGTGACTTGGCTTTCTGGCAGCCGTCTCACCTCCTTCTTGTACATCCACAGTAATCTCTTGAAACACCATGATGCCACCATACGATGGAGTTGCTTGCAGTGGCTCCTGTCGCGGGACGTATGTGCTCGATCCTTCCCCTGAGTCGATTGACTGCGTTCGTGCGTTAGTCCCTGGCGAGCAAAGGTTGATGGTCGAGCTGGACCTTGCCGAGTCATTTGATGATACAACGTGCCCAGATATTCTTGAGAGCGATTTTCCTCTAGTCCGTGTACTTCGAGTGGTCTCTGATCGCCCGAATGGCCACCGACTAGATAAGGAGGGGCTGATCTTATCCTGGGAGCCCTCTTGGCGCTTCGCCGTCTTCGCGATGTGGCCAAACTCCTGGTGTAGCCCTCGAGTAAACTCCTGATAGGACTGGGTCGATACTTGTCGCATTCTGAAAAAGCTGAGGGGCACAAACTCGCAGTTGGGGCTTGATAATACCGAATGAATCGGAATCACTAGTCTCACAGCTATCATGGTTGCCTCCAATCGCTTCTCATCCCCGCGACAAGGTATGCGGAATGCTGTTGATGTGAGAAGTGCATCCTCGAGCAAGGGCTCCTGTGTCGATTCGCGCAACTCTTTGATGGTATCTGCAATCTGCCCAGCGAACTCAGCCTCTCGATCACTCCGTTGAGAGTCTTCCTTGCACTTCTCCACGATCTTGGATACTGGTACATTCTCGAACCTCCTGAGGTAGTGCATTTGCCAGTCTTCAAGATTCTCAAAGGGGAAGGGCATCGATGGGAGCAAATGGCGTGCGCCTTTTCTCACCAAGACTTCGAAGCCAGAACTGACACGAGCTCGGACAGCAAAGAAGCCCAGGTGAGTTCCTTGGCGGATGTGATTGCGTTCGCTTGTATATGTAGCCATTTCCCTCAGTTTTGTCTCAAAGTCGTGGGTTTTGATCTGCATACTCGATTTGATGAGGTCGCTGACTTGATGCAACTCGGCAAACCGATATCCAGTGGATATCAGACGCTCAGTATCGCGAACCGACTCGGAACGGCGGACAAGGAACATCAGAGATCCACGCCCATAGTCGTGGTTCTCCACATGTAGGCCCTTCTCCGTAATGTCCAGGCTGTTGTGGACTTCCTCGTTGGCGTCACTGCCTTCCAGACCTGTCCCAGCATTTGATTGCTTGCGTAGTTGGGGCCGAGGCCGTCTACCGTTGGCACCTGTTGGCAGAATTTGATCCCACAAAACTCCGATGGATGTCAAGTCCTCACGAAGTCTATCAGCAAGAGCAGCTGCGGCGAGACAGAAAAGCTCTCGGAATATCATGTCATAGCTGTCGATAGTCTCGCCATGTTCGCTCACAAGCTGGATGCCTCGTCGTCCATCTTTATGAGTACGGGAATGTGGAAGTTGTGACACATGTTGTCTCATTCCCCCAACAAGGCTCCATATCATGTTCCAATTTCTTGATGCTTGGTACATCCAATGGAACAGCGAGTGGCCGGTATTGAAACCCTCCTTGGCATTCTGCTATGTTCAGCATCATTTGCGACAACCTGGCCGGAGTCTAGTCTCACCTTTTCCAGGAAAGAATCAGTCACCACGGTGCTTGGGATGTATCCATCTGGGTCAACGAGAATCCTTCCTCCTTTATCGAAGACCGCTGCTGCAAGAGTGATCTGCTGGGCACGAAGGGCGGACCTTCTCATGTTCCTAGCTCGAAGAATAGCCGAAGTGGCAATGATGAAGCAGGCTCCTAATGACTTGTCTGTGTTAGCACTCCTTGCTCTTAGCATTACAAGAGACCTGAGCTTTCGTGTACTTACCAAGCAAATGACAACAACAACCGTCCCTGTCCTCGATGGCTCGTTGCCGTTGGGCTTGATCCTCTTCAGTCGATAACGAGTGCCTACAGAAGCGCACCAATGCATCCCAGAAACAGCCCCGGCGAGGACAACGGCTGAGATGACTCGCTTCCACCATGCATTCGCCCACATCGCCCGAAACACGAAAAACATGGCCAATGCCACATTACTTGCAACAATGGCGATGATGGCCGATCCAATGACGTATGATGGTTGGTACACGCACGTATAGTTGTTGATGGAAGCATTGCCAAGGTAGTGCATACCGCAGACCGCAGTCCCGCAGAGTACACCACCCGCGACAAGCCTCCACCATGAAACGACGTTGTTGGTGCCAACAGCCATGAAGGCAGCGAGAAGAACTATTATGGGGACGAAGAAAGATATAGCAGTGAAGCCGCTTGAATAGGCGACCTGCAATTCCGGCTGACCATCGGCGAGATCAATGGCTCTGTTTCCGATGAAGTGCTATAGAAACAAAGCGATGGTAAGTTTAATCAGGGATTTTGAAACAAGACGCAACCTGACTTACCATACACCAGATAGATACTCCACCCATCGTAACTGCTGAGCTCATGAGCAGTAGGCTGTTTTGGTCAGGACCCTTGTGTGGAGAAATCTGGGGATTTGGTTATCAAGGCAGAGACATACTGATTGAACAGACCCCTTAACCCGGTTCTTCGATTGATGAGCTCAAGGGTTGAACCGGCGCCGACCAGGCTGACGACATAACTCAGGGCAACGAACCCAGCATTGTAGCTCTGAGGCACGATATGGCCTTGATACCGCTGGAGCAACTCTTCCGTAGACATGGTAGCAGGTACGTGGAAGAGCAACGACAAGTTGCTGCCGCCGTATTTGAGGAAAGCAAAGGTTTCAGACAAGACAGGAAAGTCATCTGGGACAACAGATGTTCTTAACTGACACCCGCATGTCAGGTAGCGAGGACGAGGACCTGGGGGCTGTTTCTGGTGGAGTTTGCCATATTGGCCTAGCCACTACGAATAAGCATTAACGACTTGACGTGAGCTGGCCGTCCACTCAGCAGCTGGGGTTTCTGGATTCAACACAAGGGAGAAGCCTGCATTCTGATTGCCACAAAGAGACAAGACGTGGACAATGAGATGCTTGGCGCTCAACCGAGAGCCAAAGGTGCTAGCTAGCAAGTGCGATCTCTTTTGATGGCCCCGAGTCTTCGACCAATGGAGCATGGTGGCCGCCCAGCTGTGGCTTGATGGCTTCCCTGCTTCATTAAGATAACGGCGCTAAGACAAGCCATGGCTCCCGAATTTCGTACAACGGGCATTAAGTTCTAGAGATTAGTGCCGGAGGCTGTCAACATATCTCGCCAACCTGCTAGCGTGATCGAGTTGCTCCCTCGGGGATGACGAAGGGTTGGACAAGAGGCGAGAGCATAAAGTTGGCCTGAATATCGTCTTCTTGGTTCTAGACAAGGCGGAGCAATGTACTAGGTAGGTTCTGTACTGTATTGTAGCCAACATCCCTGGCGAATCTGGATTTGGAAAAGACATCGACATTTGCTACCATCAGATATTCGGAGCATTTTACCAGGTGCTTGGGACCAGTGCTGGATAGCCGAATCATACTTTTTCTCCCCTGTCTGCCTTCCTGTCAGGGAAAAGCAAGCAAGGGGATAGAGAGCTGAGTGCAGGGGGGTGCTAAGGCCCTAAGATGATTGGGAACAGACCTGCAGGGAGAGCGGGGAACACAGCACGGCATACCGTAGCTAGGTGTCTCACAGTACCTCGACCCTCGAGTTTCACACTTTGCGATTCGCTGAAACCGGAGTATTCGGGCTTGAAGTTGCAGGCTTGGCAAAGTATGTACAAAAAGAGCTCATGCCGCTATTTGTTCACTTTCAGCTAGCATCGGCTGCATTGATGAGCATCAACGGCAAGGGCAACGGCAAGGATAAGGGCACGGGTAAAAGAAGAAAAGATACAGGTCATCCAGACCAAGCCAAAGGGCGATTGAGCAAACAGATCTGTCGCTTATCCTGCATCTCTGCTTCCATTCCTTTAGCATTGTCGTTCCTAACAATGAAATGCTGAGCGAGGCACAAGTGTCTCCCTCTGAGCCGAACCCACGGGAACCTGCGCTGGAGACAAGCAACTAAGAGGATCCGGCTTTACCATGTTGTCGGGAAATTGCAAATGGTGATGAGAGGGAAATCTGAAGCGACAGGGATAAATGCCCTGCCCTGAATTGTATGTGTCTGTGTGCGTGGTCTGAGCTCGTTTGTTGTTAAACTTTAGCGGCACAACGTCGATCCAAGATCCTGATATCTGAGTACGGATATCGCAAGCTGGGATTCCTAGACTAGGTGGTCAGATCTCACCCGCAATTTGTTTTCCCTCTCATCATTAGTCTCGTTCGCTACGGATCCCGGGGCATCGTGTTGCAGAATCCATTCGAGTCTTGATCTGCAAGCCAGTGGCTTGCGGAATTGATAAGCCAACATGTTATGTTTGTGTCACTGTCTGTGTCTATGTTGGTGTCTGTTGCCATGTTTCCGAAATTGAGGACAAGCTCCGCTGATAGCAGTTATAACACAACACAACATGGTAATTAATTTGATTGCGTCTGTCTTGCGTAAGGTCGTTCTTGGAACACCTTTCGGAGAGGGGCGGAAGAGTCGGCCGGCCTTAGCCATCCAGAGAAATGTGTGTGCATTGGCATTGTCTGTCTATCTTTTGAAAGTTGCATGTGTTTTTGGCTTTGCCGACAGTGTTCACAGCAAGGTATGGTACCGACTTCATGATGTAATTGCTTTTTCTTTGGTGTCCAGGTTTTCTCCATGCCCTCGATGGCCGCCATGCTTCAAAGCTCAGTGCTGCTGACACGATGCTCGACTCTCCCCCATCTATTCTGCGTACGTTAAGCTTTTTGGTTTCGGTTCTCCCGCCGCGTCGTCACAGCCCGCCTCAACTATAAGCCTCGGTCTCACTCTAAGCACGGACGGGAGGGGACATGCGTTGCCATGAGGTAGTTGGGAGAATCCTCGGTACTCGGTACGTAGTTGAGATAGTGTCTGAGAGCCCAGATCTCAGACTGGAATGCAATACCACCAACGCTCATTCGTTCAGTCTAATGAATCGCGTCAAGCTTTGTCCGGAAGGGAAACCCTTCACTTCCCTCTTGTCTTGCTCTCCCTGTTTGTAAACTCTAATCGCGAGATACAGTAGCCCTTCAGGCCTTCAAGGGTTTCAATGACTTGTCATGGCACGACTGGAGCAAGCTGACCATCATGCTATTGCATGTGAGTATGTACTGTGGGGGGGGG